TTTCTAAATCGTTCGCAAAAAAAAAAATATAAAATAATTTTTTTTTTTTTTTTTTTTTTGGATATGATAATATAGAGTGACAAAAAAAAATCTATTGACAAAAATTGGCCAAATTGGGTAATTGTTTTTAGTGAATAATTTTTTTGGGGATATCGATATTCTTTGGATAATGTGTTTAATGTATTTCCATTTGTAATTTAATCATCAATGACATCATCATCATCAATTTAGTTGATTTTTTTGTTTTGTTTTTGTAATTGTAAACCGAATTACTTGAAAAAAAGAATCTCATTTATCGATAAAGTAATAGTCGATCATTTACAGATTTAATTTTCTGTTTTTTCTATCCGGTAGTATTGTTTCTGAATCTTACGATATCCTTCCTTTACACACACACACACACACACACAAACACCAATACCTTCATAGATGCAAAAATCAAAATGAAACGATGCAAAAAAAAAAAAAAATTCATTCAAACATGACATGTGATAATAATAGCCATAATGTAATATTATACTTTTATCCAATCAACAGAAAAAACAACAAGAGAAAAAATAATAGCCCATTTGAATAGCCTTGGTTGTTATTATTATATAATGATAATGTTTGATATTTTTTTTCACCCAAAATGATCATCATGTTAAATAGATATTTCACTAAATATTGTCAACTTTTTTTCTGTTGCTCCATTCATTCAATGATCAAATGCAAATTATTATTATCTTCTTACATATCTCTTCTTTTCGATTCCTTATTATTATATCATCAAAAGAGAATTCCATTTTGCACTAAACAGAATCTCTTTTTCTTTCTCTCTCTCTCTATCTTGACTAATATTCGTTGTCAGTTGTGTGTGTGCGTATAGAATTTAACCATTCCTCCCCTCGACTATTCTTATGAGATGGGAAAAGAAATTGACAAAATGGGCAGTGTTTATTATCAAAAAATTCAGAAAGCAAAAGAAACAAAACAGTGTGTCAAGTTTTCCAACCATTTTCATTCAAATCCATAGTCCCATAATAATAATAATAATATTCTTTGGGATGCCAGAAAAAATGAAAATTATCGTTGATTTTTTCACGTTTTTCTTGATCGTGGTTATTATTATTATTAGGGAATTATTATTTGTCACACAGACACACACACACACACACTTATTACATAAACATTTTATTCAATCATTCAACCGAAAAAAAAGGGAAAGAGAAATTTTTTTCAATAAAAAAACTGATACGGTCATCATGGTAATCATCTCGTTTGTTCATCATCATCTCGTTTTTGAATTTAGCCATAATTGCCATTTATTCGAATCCATCATCATCATCATCATCTTGGTGATCATATACTTAATGCTGCTTGAATTGAATTCAATTCATTGTCAATTTCACATAATAGCTTTAGTGTGTTTTGGGGAAAATTGAAAATGCAACATTCAAAAAACAATTCAAACTTTGTCTCCCAAACACAATTTGGATGTTATTGTTTCCTGGTTGTTGCTGTTGTTGTTTGCAATTTACTATAATCGAATCTCAATCACTTAATAAATAATACGGTCAGTTGAATATTCTGGTTATATAATATTCATTCATTCAAAATGTGTTTGTCATGATGATGGTGATCATTTTAAAGCTTTTTTTGATGCTTTTTTATAGTTTACTTGAATTTTTTTGAATGAATGATTACTTACTTTACTGTTCAATGAATTTCACTATTCGTTATTCATTCATTTATGGCTTTTTTTGGATCAGAATTGATCAGAATCGGATTGCTGTTGTTGTTGTTTGTATCCATTATTCTGTTCACTTTCTTCTTCTTCTATTTCACATTCATGGATTCATCATCATCATAATTTTATTTGAATGTTTTTTTCCCATTCAAATATACTTACCCAAAAATCCATCAATTCAATGGCTTTTTGACTTTTGATTATCTCCTTTTCCATAAACATTAAGCAATAAATTCTCTCTTTACCCATATTGGATTCAATTGCCCTTGAATATTTTCTATTTTTGATAGTGTGGAAAAATCAATTCATTGTGGAATTATAAATAGAAAAATTGATTGAAGAGATTTAAAATCAATTTCAACTCAATGATGATGATGATGATATTCAAAATGATTTGGTTTCAATAAAGAACGAAACTTTTTCTTTTTATATAAATAAAATGATTGATTTTTTCGTTTGTTTGTTCGTTTATTCATTTTATATTCAAAATTTCTGATAAAATACAGTTTTTGGTTTTGTTTTAATACCGAAAATTCATTGATGGATAATTGGATAACAAATTATTTGGAGGAAAAAACAATGAATATCTATAGATTATTCTGGTCATCGATTTTTCAATATTACACACACACACACTACATTTAAGTTGAAATAGCCGTTGTTAAAAATGTTCCATTTGTATGATTACCAGATGTGGCTGTAGTAGTCGTCGTAGCTGTCGTTGTTGTTGATGATGATATGGCAATCGGTGAAGATGATGATGATGATGACGATGGTGATGATCTTGATGATGTTGATGATAATAAAACAGAATGTTTTTGCTGCTGGTGCTGTTGATGTTGTTGATGAACATTAAATGATGCGGCTGCTGCTGCAGCAGCAATCAAATGATTTGCTACAGGTGATGATTGTATATTGTTATTATTGGTCGTTTGATTATTATTATGATGTGGATGTTGATGATGATGATTAGCAGCTACAAATGAATTGGCCAATTGTGTTGCATATAAAAATGCTGCCGATGGAAATGTTGGATGTGATGATGATGATGATGATGTTGTTGTTGTCGTACCTAATGGATGATGTCCATGATGATGATGAGGATGATGATGACCAATAGCCATTGCTGATTGATTATCAATAATATTTCCATTTCCAATATTATTACCGATTGTATCGATAATACTACTACCACCCACACCACCAACATTATTATTATTACCGGTAGGATTATTAGCATCCATACCGGGATTCTGTTTTTTCCATTTTGTACGACGATTTTGAAACCAAATTTTTACCTAATTATTTTTTTTGGTTAAAATAAACGCGGGAAAAACAAAAAAGTATAGAAAATTTGAAAATAAATCCGAAAAGAAAAATCCGAAAAGAAAATCACACACGTGCGTGTGTAGGGTGTGATTTAATGACCATATGCGACTAAAATTGTGTACAAAGGCAAACACGAACGAGCGAAATACGATATTTTGCAAAATCACTGGCACTGTGTTCTCCCACATCTCAAATAACTAATTAATTAACGATAATTATTACGCATCATCACCAACAAGCTCTGATTTCCATATTTATTTTTTTGACCTTTTTTTTTAGTAAACAAAAAAAAAACAACACTTACTTGTGTTTCAGTTAATCGTAATGAAAGTGCAAGATTTAAACGTTCACAAACCGATAAATAACGTGTATTTTTAAATTTATTTTCCAATGCAACCAATTGTTCATAGGTAAATGCTGTACGTGCACGACGTGGTTTACCACCTTTTCCATTTACACTTTGTCCATTATTATTATTCGAATCATTATTATTATTTAATCTTGATTGATAATTTGATTTCTTTTTATTAATTTTTAAATTATTCGAATCTTGATAATAAAAATTTGTTGTTGTTGTCGAAGTTGTTGTTGTTGTCGATGTTGTTGTTGTTGCAGTTATTGTTGTTGTTGTTGTTTCACTATCACTATTCAATATGATTGGTGATGAAACATCATCATCATCATCATCCTGATCATCATCTTGATCATCATCAACATCATCATGATTTTGATCCATTACAAGTCCATCATCATCACTGATAATCAATGATGTTGATGATGAATTTGAATTCATTTCAATTTCATTATCAATCAATTTCGATTGGTTAATTAGTTGTTGTTGTTGTTGTTGAAAATGATGATTATGATAACGAATATTTAAATCACCAAATACTTTTAAATAGAAAAAATCTATAACATTAAAATCTACATATTTTGTAACAATAAAATTACTTACAATCATTTGTATGATTCATTTGTTGATAATTATTTAAAAATGGTTTATAAAATGATGCTAAATCATTCAATTGATTATGATGATTAGTTTGATTTTTACGAATAGTTTCATTCATTAACCATGGTTGCCATCGTAATAGATAATCAGCAGCAACAACTGCTGCTGCTGCTGCTGAATTAGCAGCATTATTATTATTATTATTATTTATCAATGTTGTTGATGATGTCGATGATGATGATGATGATAATTCATTCATACCTAATTGACCCATAAATTTATATGGATCAAGTATATCTTCAACCATAAATGATGTTGATGAATTTGTAGTTTTATTATTATTATTATTATTATTTTTCATTTTAAAATTATTCATCATTATTAATTGTTGAGATTGTTTTTTCTTGTTGTTGTTGTTGTTGTTGTTGTTTATTTTTACAACATTAATCTCATCATTATCATTATCATTATTTTTCGATAATAATTCAATCATATTTGTTGTTGTTGTTGTTGAATCATTTTGTTGTTTACTATTATCATCATCAGGATTATCATTGTTTTCATCATCATTATCACAATTATCATTATTGCAACCAATCATTAGTTTATTATCCATATTTTTATTTTCAATCATTTTGCATTTTCATTATATTGGCAAAAACACACACACACACACACACACATTGTGATCAACTGAATTGTGAATTAATGAATTTTCGAAGAAAAAACTTATTTACAGTTATTGTTTGTTTGTCTGTCTGTGGTTGTTGTTGTGGTGATGATTATGATGCTAATGATGATGATGATGATGATTATAATAATTCTTGTAAAATGATCACGATGTAAATAGACAACAACAACAACAACAACAAAATTGATGTGCGCGCTTATTTTTTAAATTTTTTTCGTTTCGTTTAGTCTTTTGTTACAAACAATGTCTCTTCTCTCATCATTTCTACGAACATCTATTTTATCTAATTTTTATCCATTTGTGTGTGTGTGTGTGTTTAGGTCATAGCTATAACATTATTTTATCGTTTCTTCTCGTAACTCTGATGTTGTACACTTGAACATTCACATCATTTTTTCCTTCACATCCATTTAATATATAGACAGTGAAAGCGCATTACCCAAAAGGCATGGCAATGTTTTTTCTATATTTTCAACCAACTAAGTTGTCTGTTCTCTATGTGCTTGTTGTGTGTGGCTGTATTTTGCTTCAATGAATAAATTGAATATAGAAAAGGAGGAGAGAAGATCATCATCAAAAGGAGAAAAAAAAAGTGGAAGCTATGATGATGTTGATATATGAATGTAGCGCCCATTTTTCTTCACTTTCCACCATTCATTCATTCATTCATTCATTCATTTGTTTCTGGTTGGTTGATTCGTTGATTGGTTTAACGTTTTTTTTTGATTTGGAAAAAAAGGCCGGCATTTTTTTATTTTTAGCCAGAAAACACAAATTGACTTAATTAATTTTAATTATGACAAAAAAACTGACAAATTCTCATTTAGTAAATTGAACATTTATTGATTTTATAGACGAAAAAAAGGATTTTTTTGGCTTCAATTTCTTTTCTGTTTAGTGAAAATGTCTTGATAAATAATGGGAATTTTGTTTTTAAAACCTTTTTAGGTTTAATTTCCTAAAAAAATGGTTATAATCTTGTTTCTTTTTTGGAAAGAAAAAAAAAGAAAAGAAAATTAATTTACCGTAAAACAATTTCAATTCATTTAGCAATGTAATAAAATACAAACAGACAGACAAACAAACAAACATAAATAAAATAATTATAATTCAATTATAAAGATGTCATTTTAGAAAGGTTTTTCCTTGTTGTTGTTCGATAACTAACTAAGAGAAACCGGTAAAACATTTTCTAATTTGAATAAAAGCAGAAAATTCATTCAAGAATCTCTTTTTGATTCAAATAAAGAATTTTCCTAATTTTAAATGAATTCAGTCATTCGAATAATGACAGTTTTTGAATGAGCCAAATTTTTTTTTCTGGCAAACGATTCTCTCTCTTTCTTCAAAACAGAATAAATGATTCTTTCTTCTTCTTTTTAATTGACTAAATGATATGTTTCAATCACGAAAAAAAAACGGTTGCCATATTTTTCTATGAAAGAAAAATTTTTCATAAAAAACATTGACTTTTTAAAAAACAACCACCAACAACAATCAAATGTTTTTTTGTAATGTTTTGGATGATCCAAAACCTACAAAACCAAAAAAATTCAAAAAACAATGATTTTCCATTCATTCAATTCAATTCAATTCGTTTGTTCGTTCGTTCGTTCAATCGTAACCAACCAACCAACAAAACAAATTCATCAAATTTTAAAATCTTTTTTTTAAAAAAAAAGTTTGTTTGTAATTTGCCGACTTTATTTATTAAATAATAATAACTCAAAAGTAAATCAACCAAAAGAAACCAAATAGAAAAAATTATTTTTATCTCATTATTTTTTTGGTACAATTATTATTCAGTTACATTCGGAATTATTACAATGTTTCAGGCAAAAAACTGATGATGATGATATAATCACAAACAGAATGGCCAAAATATCGATACCATCATCATATGGATGACTTTTTTTTGAAGTTTTAGCGACAAAACATTGATAAGTGTGTGTGTGGCCATGTGTCATCTATTTGACGATAAAACTTCTTGAATGACATTTTGATTTTTTTGGAAATGAAATTTTTTTTCAAAACTTTGAATAGAATTTCATTCATAATCACAATTTATGTTGGTGGTGGTTTTACAATAAGGCGATAATTAGCAATATGTGTGTCGGTTTTCCATCTTTTTTTGTTTCAAAGTTTTTTACTTAAACGAAATCCCATTGCCGGATGTATACCCATAGCAAATAATTCCTGTATTAATAATTTAAATGCATATGGTATACGAACTTTTGTTACATTATCGCTTGAATTACATAACATACAGAATCTTGATGCAACAAGAAAATTACAATTATGACATATTTCTACTTCATATACATCGGTTGAAAACATAAAACGTTCTAATAATGAATTAGATGTTCCATGTCCAATTAAACAATCACGTTCCATTTCACCAACACGTAAACCACCATTTCTTGAACGACCTTCAGTAGGTTGTCTTGTTAATGATATTGTTGGTCCAATTGATCGTGAATGTACTTTATCCATAACCATATGTTTTAATCGTTGATAATAAATTGGACCAATAAAAACTTCATTCGGTAATAATTCACCAGTAATACCTGAACAAAGTAATTCTTTACCCGAATATAAATGATTATGTTTATGCATTATATCAAAACAATCATTCATTGATGTTCCATTAAATACGGTAGCATCATGTATTGTTCCTTTAAGTGAACCTGCTTTTGATGCTGTCATTTCTTTTAATTTACCAACTGTCATACGTGATGGAAAACCATGTGGATTCATAATCTTATCCGGACTAATACCAGCACTAGAAAATGGTAAAATTGATTTATTAAATATAGCACCGATAACACCTTTTTGTCCATGTCTTGAACTGAATTTATCACCAACAATAGGTGGTCTCATTTGACGATATGAAACTTTGATTATCAATTCATCATCATTATTTGAAATAGTAACTTTATCGATTACCGAACTATTTTCCGATCGATAAACTAAACCATTATCATAGTATTTTGTTTGTTGATGTCCCAATAAATTATTACTATTTTTTACATCTGGTGATTGTTTATTGACTAATATCTGACCAGAATGTACTAAACTTTCAGGTGATGCAATACCATCACAATCTAATGTTGCATATTTATTCTGTGATTTTGTCATTTCATTTTGTCTAGGAAAATATAATGTATCACGACAACTACGATTTGGATAGGTTTTCAAATCAATTTTTGCATTTTTGTATACAAAACATCTTGCATAACCAAATTGTATACTAGATTTATTCAATATGGTTGCATCTTCAAGATCATATGCACTGTATGACATTACAGCTACGGTTGGATTTTGACCAGCCGGAATCCAATTAAACATTTTCATTGGTTTTGTTTGAACTAATGGATATTGTGGATATTGTATTGTATACAATAATGAATCATTACGAAGATTTTGATTCAATGCAATAACACCCATTGCTTGTTTACCCATTGCACATTGATAAGTATTACGTGGTGATTGATTACAATGTGGAAATGGTATAATCGATGCACATATGCCTAATATGGTAAACACTTCAATCTCCATATGTGTTGTATGTCCAGCTATAATACCATCATCATTCAATGCAATAAAACAATCATTCAATTCATTCATATCCAAATATTCAATGATGCCCATATCGATTAGATCATTAAAATTCATTACATTTCTTTCGACTAATTTACAAAATTGTTCAGTAAGACGATGACGACCATTTTCATCAACAATTATATATGGACGACATAATCTTCCTGCATCCGAACAAATATACACTGATTGATGATAATCATTAGTAAATACAGTGGTAAATTTCGGTATATTTCCTTCACGTCGATTTTGTCGTATAAATGCTGTGAATGGTTTTGGATCAGTCACATAACCTACAATAACACCATTAATAAAAAGATAATATAAATTTAAATCAATTTGATCTAGATCAACGCAACCATATGGAAGAACTAAATTGGATTCTGAACAAATTCGTACAATTTCATCATCACAATCTTCAGTGGATACTTGACACATAAGGGCAATATTTTTAACAAGACCACAACTTTCACCTTCTGGTGTATCACTTGGACAAACAATACCCCAATATGATGATTGTAATGAACGAGGACCAGTAGTTTTACGTGTTTTTTCAAATTGAGAATTAATACGGGTCAACATTCCCAAGCTGGCCAGATGACTTAATCGAGATAATACTTGTGATACACCAATTCGATTAATACGAAAACGTCGTATTGACCAATTACCCGTTGCGATTGCATTATTTAAAGCATGTGTTATAAGATTACTGGTCATATGTTTGGTAACATCAAATTGACAAACTTTAACTTTTGGTATCATTTTGTTTGCCGTACCCATTATGGTTAGATTATAACGTTTGAATGCATCTTCAAATAAAAAACCAATTAATGTTCCAGCCAATTCTAGACGTTTATTACCGTAAAAATCACGATTATCAATGTGATTGTCCGGATCAATATGTGCTAATAATAATCTTCGTACCATAAAAGCAAGATAGAAAAATTTTGGATAAAATGAATCATTTACAACGGGTATATGTGTCAAAACTGAATTATAAATAAAATAATAAGCTATTACTGCAGGATGACGACTACTTTCATTCGATAAGCTAATCTTTTTTCCAATAAATTCCAATGCATTGATTTCGGAATAAATTTTTGAATCAATACATTGTTCCAACGATGGTAATAATAATTTAAACATTTCCATATTACGTTCACAATCACGAAGTATTAGGCTAGTTATTTCTCGATCACTTAAACCGGACATTGCTTTCATCATAATGATAACCGGGACACCATCTTTAATATTACCATGTTTCACCATTATCTATGCAAAAATAAATGAGTTAATTTTGTTGTTTTTTTCTTTCATCTGATTCAAGTTCAATTACCTGTCGTTTTTTATTCATCTGCAATGTAAGACGCGATTTCTTTTCGGTTGCAATACATGTTACTTCACAGATAATTTCATCATCGTTTTTGAATGTGAATATTCGATTTTTTGATTGTTGTTCTTGCATTAATATTACTTTTTCACTGCCATTTATGATGAAATAGCCACCCGGATCAAGTGGACATTCCTGTAATTGAAAATAGTCATCACGATTTTTTTGATTCAATACACAATTATTGCTGCGAAGCATAATCGGCATACGTCCAATCAATAAATTTTTTTGAGTTAAAACTTCTTGACCACGTGTATATTCGATGTCAACATAGATAGGTGCCGAATACGTTAAATCTCTTAATCGACATTCTTGTGGTGTTAATGAATGTTTATTGTGGCCATCACGAATTTCGGGCATACCAACATGAATGTTCAAATATTTGACATACCAATTCGGATCAACTTCTGATGTAATACGATCATTGGCTGCAACAATATCTTTCATTCCTTTGGCGATGAAACTATTGTATGAATTAATATGATGTTCGGCGATATCATGCACTTTGAAATAATTCTCGACAATCTTCCATAGTTTACCCATTTTGAAACAAAAATTTAAAATAAAATCAAAAAAAAAGAAAGAATTTATTGATCAGACCACGTGAGATACTGAATTAACAATAACGAAACGTTTAGGTTAGAATAGACGCACAATTTTAAAATAAAATTTTATTTTTAATAAAAATTTTTATTTATTGATTTAAATTATTAAAATGATTAATACAAATCAAGAATCATCTTCGTCATCAGAATCAGAACTAGAATCGTTGAAATTGTTTTCATTTTCGAATAATAATACATCCAATTGCACTTTTTTCTTTGGTTCCAAATTTGTATCATCTACATTCGAATCATTATCATCATCTTCATTATCATCGTCTTTTTCGATATTATAACATTCATCGGCAGGATTTGCAGATTTTAAAATAGTTAGAAAATCCTTTATTCTAGGTAGAACTAGTATATTTGATACGAAAAAAAAGAATTAGAAAAAAATTACGAATCAATCAAAAAACAAACCATTTGAAGTTAATTTTTCAGTCTTGAATGATGTCATATCATTTTTACTACATTTATCAACATTATTTTCTTTATTATTAAAATTGAATAAATTTTCTGGTTTATTTTTAGCCAAAAAGAATTGATTTTCACATAAAAGTAAATCTTTATTTGATTTTGATTTTTCCATTTTACAATGTGTTTGATGTCTCGTGTTGACGTTTTTAGAATATATTCCATGTATCACTTGGTCTATGAATGAATCTCCATAACGACGATATTTTTAATTTTTCAAAAAATCAATTTTTTTAAATTTTTTTTAAAATTTTATTTATTGCATTTTTATTTTTCTATTAATTTGATAAGATATAAATTGTTTTTAATAAGATTTTTGTCATCGTATATATTATATATAGGAAAAATCACAGCTCCCGAAACAAACAAAAAAATGAATATAAAATGAAGGCTATTATAATCAAAATGTCATTTTAGTCAAAAGAAAAACATAAAATCAATCAATTAGGACGTCGAAGATTATTATTATTATTATTATTAGTTTTTGGTGTTAGACGTTGATTTAAGCTTCTCATATTTATTTTAAGATTTCGTCGATTTGTTTCTAATGATAAAAAAATGATTGATTTGAACAAATTTTATTTTATCACAAAAATAATAATTACCATTCTGTGCTTTTCCCATCGATTGTCTTTCTTTGTCCATTTCTAATTCTTCAAGTTTTTCAGTCAATGCCAATTTTTGCTGTATTGCTATACGTAACAATGAATTTAATGTTTTCTTTTCCTCTTCCGAAGCTTTATATTTTCGTTGTAATTCATCAATTTGTGAAACATAATCTTCACATCTAGCTGCAAACATTGAACGTAATGATGCAAATGTAGCAGCATCTTCTTTCAGGGCCTAACAAAAAAAAATTTTTGAATTTTTTGCTTTTGAGAAACAGAAAATTAATTAAAAATAACTTTTTTTTAGTACCTTGAGTTCATTTCTCAATTTTGTCATCGTTTCAGTCACAACGGCTTTTTCAGTCTCATATTTTGATTTTAAATTAGCCAATGCTACTTCGGCAGTTTGTTTGTTTGTCTTCAAAACAGTTCTCAGCGATGCAATTTGTTCACGTTTTGTCGACAATAATGATTTCAATCTTACAATTTGATCTTGTAAATCATCAACATCTTGAACGGAAACCAATGATGTCGGTTGTTCACAAACATCTTGTGGTGAATGTTTTTGTCGAAAATTTCTATTCTCAATAGCTGTATCAACAGCCGTTTTCAATACTTTTATCTGATCTTTAACGGTATCCAATAAATTATTGCACTCGACCGTTTTAATCTCTTCCAATATACCATATACTTTAGTTAATTTTTCTTTTAACTGATCAATCGATCGATTTGGATCGAAATTAGGTTGCAAATGATTGAGTATTACTCGATCCGGTGTTACACCGTTAACTATTTTTTGAACAAATTGAAAATTTAAAAATTTCAAAGATGATATTTTTTGTTTTCACATAAAATAACTTACTCAAACAGATATGATGATATAACGAGGCCAATTCTTCCGAAACCAATGATAATTCTTCATATGTTTGATTTGAATTTGAATAAAATTCATTTATCATTTTGGCTAATATTTCACAATCATTTTCATATTGTTTTGTTTTCATTTCATATTCTTTCATTGAATGTTTTAATTTTTCTAGCTCATTTCTATAACCATTCAAATCAATACTAGATATTTTTGATTTAATCAATTGTTTAAGATTAGATAATTCTGGATCACTTATATTATTATCATTTGAATTATCATCAAGATTTAGATTATTTAATTCTTCAAATATTTTTTCAATTTTTATTGTTTGTTGTTTTAATTCTTCCCTTGCTTTTTCCAACATTGTTTGTGTATCATTTAAACGTTGTGTTAGTTGATGTTTTTGGCTATCCGATTCTTCTAACATACGTTCAAATTTTTTTATCTCATTTATATGTACTTCACTGAATAATGAACCTTCCAATGATGGTGGTTGTGTTATATAATTATCTGAATTATTAAGAAATTCATTTTCCAATTTTTTTAAGGCACTATTATCATCCAATCCAACTGTTTCATCAAAATTTTCTGTTTCATCATCTATATGAGAAACAAAGAAAAAAAACATTCAGTAAATAAAGATCAAACAAACAAAAAAAATCCCTATACTTACAATCAAATTTCAAACCAGTAAAACCAACAAAATTATTAATATTCAAATATGATTCGGAATTTAATTTTTTATCCAATTCTTTTTTGATAGCATATTTTTGTTCACGTTCCAATTGTAATGCTTCTAATGCTTCTTTTGTCTAATTTAACATGAAAGAATCATTTTAATCATTTGATTTTGTTTCAATAAACAAAACATACCTGTTTTTCAGCAATACTTTTCAATTTAGTACATTCTTCAATCTGTGTTTGTAATATATCAATTTCACCTTGTAAACGTTGTATTTCTAATTTAAATGTTTCAAAATCTACTTGTGATGATTTTAATAATGATACTTGTTTTTGTAATGATATATTTTCTTCTTCAAGTTCATTTATCTCTAAATGTAATCTTGATTCACGTTGTTTTGATTCTTTTAATTCATCAATAATTTTTTTCCTCTCTTTTTCATTCATTTCTTTTCGCTCTAATAATTTTAAATTTTCCTGATAACATTTATCACGATCATCTTTAACATTTTGTAATTCATTTTTAGCTTGTTTTAATTCTTTTCCTAATTCAATAACAGTACTAATAAAATGTTCTTCTTTTTTAGCACTTTCCATCAGTAGTTGTTCTTCTTGTTCGATTTCGGATGTTGCTGAAACACGTTGTATTGTTTGTAGTTTATTCAAGGCCTGTTGAAATTTTCAACCAAAACAAAAATATTCAAAAATCTGGTGAAAATAGTAAAAATAATAATGATAATACCTCTTTGAGATCTTCAAAATCTTCATTTTTCGAATCATATTTACTTTCAAGTTCATCATATTTTCTTTGTAATTCTTCTTTTTCATCCTATATATGGTTGAAAAGAGAAAACAAAATTAATCAATCAATAATGATTATGCAATTCAATAATGATGTTTCCATACCAACAACACTAAACCATATTGAGCTGATTGAATTTTTTCGGCCGTAGCCGTTTTTAATTCTTCATTCAATTGTTCAATACGTTCTTTGAGAGTTTGTATTTCATTGTCTCGTTGTTTAATATCATCGATGATTGTTGTTGTTGTTTCCATTTTGTAAAAATACACATAACCGTTTAAAAAAAATAAATTCCGGATTATCCAGATTATCGAAAAACAAACTATAAAATAGTAAAAATTAAATAATACTTTTTGTAATAAATTCCAATTCGATCAATGTTAATTAATGTAAATTCAATGATAATGATGGAAACATTTTTTTGTTTTTTTCTGTCCCTATTTATTTTCATTGATAGATTTATAGATTTCAAAAATCAAAAATGAATGAATGAAAATTCATTCATAAATTTATTTGTTTGCCATAAACTGATGATGATAACAAATTAAAAACAACAACAATCTGAAAATTTTGACAACAACAACACTGATGATCGATCGAATGGAGAATCTCACTTGTGTGTAAATATACTTTTTTTTTTGTTGATGTGTCAACAAACTGTGGCGGCGTTAGTTGTTGTATTTCGAACGAATGAATGAAAATAACTCGCTTTGTAATAAAACCAACGGCAACAATTTTTCATAGACGGGAAAAAATGAAGAAAAGAAAAGAAACTCCTGGCCACTCTCGGTTATTATATTTTTTTTTGAAAAAATGAAAAATTGATGAATATAGATCGAAAGAGACAAGTGTACCACCATATAAAAAGACCAGTTTGTTAGTTTTTTTTTTCAATTCTTTTATTCTAAAAAACAAGAAAGAAAAAAAATACGCACACAAAGAATACAGAATTATTAAATGTATATAAAATGGAATGGCACAGGAAAACAAAAATCTTTTCCTTTCTTTTTTTTGGTATATATAATACATTAATGAAAAATGTTTGTTTGTTTGTTCGATAAATACGTTTGATTAGAGATGAGATACTGGAAAAAAAATTGTAAAATACTATATCACAGTTGAAGTAAATAGATAGAATGAAAAAAAATTATAATTCAGTTGTTGGTGGTTGTTGATGAGCTTGATTGAGCGGATAACGAACAGAAAATTCTTCCATTGCTGCATTTATATTGGCAGGATTTTTATAGAAATCATTATATGTAGAAATAAAAACAAATTCTGGTTTTGGATATAGATCAAATTGATTATTTTTAAATTGATTTTCGGTATATAATTGATTTTTAACAAAACCAGATAATTGATTACGACATTGAATGACCAACAATATGATTACACCGCCGATGATTAATAAACCGAATAAACCACCAATTATAATCGGTATATATGATTCCAATAGAAAGCAACCAAATTTATCTTTATGTAATTTGATAATAAATTTATCTTTCAATGAAAATGGTGAATAACAACGAACATCCAATGCATTCTGTTTCATTATGATTTCGCTGACATTTTCATTCAATAATGTTACCAAATTGAATATAGGAAATGTTATATTTTGATTGAGAAAATAATCTGGATTACTGCTTATTGTTTTGTTAAACATACGAATAAGATGAAAATTAAGCCATTCAAGGCTACAATTACAACTGAATGGATTGCCACGTACATCTAAATAGAGATCATATTTTTTATATTTTGTTATAAGATCTATTTCTAAACTTTCAAAACTATTGTTTGATAAAATTAACGATGAAAGTGAATAAAGATTATTGAATACATTTGAATCGATATGTTTCAAGGCTTGATTATTGGATAATTCAAGCATTTCTAGATTTTCAACACCATCAAATGCATCCACATGGATTTTCTAATTTTTAAAAAAAATAATGATCATCAATTCGAATGTTAAACAAATATACTTACAGCTAACGAAGATGCATTGGTTAGATAAATTTGTTTTAAATGTTTTAAATGATAAAATGATTTTGGATGAATAAATGGAAATGGATTGTTGCCAATATTCAATACTTGTATGACATTTTTTGGTAAAAATGATGCCGATGGTATAGCCTGAATACAAAAAAAAAAAAATGAATAAACATGCTTGATTATCAACAATTTCAACAAAATACTAACCATTAATGAATTATTATTAAGATTAAGAATAGTTAAATTATTAAGACCATTAAAACAATATGAACTTAATGATGATAGATGACATGAGCTTAAATCCAATACGGTTAAATCATATAATGCAATAAACCAATTATCATCTAAATGTTCTAATTGATTCATACTGATATTTAAATTAATCAATTTTGGAATGTTTGAAAAAAGATTTGTCGATAATTTCATTATCAAATTGTTACTAATATTAAGATTAATCAAATTTCGTAGACCAACAAATGTATTTTCATTCAATATTTTCAATAAATTAAATGAAAGATCAAGAATTTGTAATGAATTTAGATTCTTAAATATAGAACCATTAATCATTTCGATACGATTAAAACTTAGATCCAATATTTTCAGCAAATTTAAACCGTTAAATGCTTTCGGTTCTAACATAAACAAACTATTATTTTTCAATAAAATTGTTTGTAATTCTGAATTATATTGAAAATTATTATTAACAATTGTTGTTATTAGATTTGATGATAAATCAAGATAGATAAGATTTTTATAAACATCAAATGCAGTATCAATACGACGAATATTATTTCGTGGAAGATATAATTTTTTTAATGATGGATTCAATGTATGTGGAACATATTCTAATTGTGAACTAACACTACAATTAGTAATTAATAATGTTTCAATACAATCACATCCACGGGGACATGTTCGTGATGCGATAACGCTATTCACAATGATCAATATGATTATGATACTAAATGACAAGGCCATCATTATAGTTGTTGATGATGATGATGATATTTTTTTCATGATTTTAATCATCTAAACATACATATGATTATTAATTTGATGATAATTATGAATGCTAATCTAAATAAAACAGTATTGAATAATAATTTTGAGCAATAGCCGTAATCAAATGAAATTGTATATCCACAATAAAAACAAATGAAAATAGTGAGCGAAAAAAAATCAAAAACAAATTATCTTTGTATACAGAAACTTTTCCGATTCTTTGTTGTTCGTAAAAAAAAACTTTTCGAAAAGTTTCTCGTTTGATTTTCCTTTTCAAATCTTGCATCTCTTGGTCATTCATTTAGCTTCGTTTTTTTTTCTTCTACAAAATCGGGGAAATTTTGCGTGAAGGATTTTTTTTGAATGATAAAGATGATAAACCATACAAAGATCTATGACAAATGGATCAAGTTCATTTGACTAAAGTGAAAATGTAAATGTTCATTAGGATCATCATTATCATCGATGTTCAATGTTTGTCGTTTATGGAATGTCTTTTTTTTTGTTGTTGTTGTTCTTGCTACTTTTTAATTTACTTTTTTTCTTTGATCTCATTTCATTCAAGGCTCATTCACTTTTTTTTTCTTCAATATTACCTTGTTCAATTGGAAAACGATTTTTTTTCTTCTTCTTTCAGTCAAATATATCTATGACAAGATAATTGACCGACCAGCCGGACCAAACTTGTTACATCAAGTTGTTTGTCATTGATCCATTCTATGGATCGATCAATAGATTAATGATATTTCATTCAAATATGACAGAAAAAAAATCAAAAAAAAATCTTCTCAACATTGATTATAATGTTTCAAATTTGAATAATTATCATGCCTGTTCCAAGGGGGAGAGACAGAGAGAGATCAGGATCGATGAAATCAATTGATTTATTTTTATGTGAATATACATGTCAATAATATTCACAATTCAACAACAATAAAATATAAAATTATAATATAATGATAGGAAAGAAGAAAAATGACGAAATCTGTTTTTTTTGACAACAAAAAAAATCTAATGTTTTTTTTTCAGGGACATGATTCTCGAAATAAACAATCGATACATCCGTTATGAAAACAATCGATCTATCGATCGAATGTTTTTTTTTGAAACGGAAAAAAATATTATTGAAAACTCTCTACGTTTTTGTTTCTTCGTTTTTCAACGACTACAAATAACATTGTCATTTGTTTGTGAGGAAAAATTTTTTTTTTTATAAAATTCTGAAAAAACCAAATCTAGAATTTCAATATAAAATATGACACCATCAATATCGACTACAAAAATTATCAAATATTGACATGTTATCTATTCTCACAAGTTCACTTTTTTTCAGTTGTCTGTATGAAAATCAAGAAAAAAAAATCTTCACAATCTCATATCTGTGTTTGGCCATAACAACAAAAATAAAAATTTCACTTGTTTTTCCCATTACGAAATACAATACAATTCATTATTGTCAAAAATTCATTATTGTTTCCGAACATTGTTAAATTTTGTGTACAAAATTTTGCCTTCCCCCTTATTATTTTTTTGATTTCACAATACTTTCGAATATTGTCGATATAATGATAATGTAATAACGATACCTATCATAGGTAAGAAAATTGATTAATTTTTGTTTTCACCATTTTTTTTCACTTTTCCCCCATTCATTATTAAATATATAAAAAAGCAAGCAAGAAAAAAAAAATCATAAAGATTTCAATCAACAACAATTCACTTGTGACATTGACTTCCGCTTTAAATTTGACATCAACATCCAAATGGATCACATGAACAAATGTATGTTTGCATTGCTTGTTTCGTTCCAGTTGGAACAAGCATCAAGCAAATGTTGTTGTTTTGTCGTTGTTGTTTTTTTCATTATTTCATGATCAATAGAGCAGAGCCAACGCCATTCAAATGGTAGGAAGAGAGAGAGAGAGAGAACGAAATAATAAAATAATTGTGAATGGGAGGAAAATGCATACCTTGAAATTTTTGTATATATGAATATATGGTACAACATAAACCAATAACTTTTAAACGACAAAAACAAAATCAAACACATCTTATGAGAGAAAGAGAAAGAAATGTTTCGAAGACCGAATGTCTTGTTTTTTTTTTGTTTGTAATGAGAAAAAAATGTTCCAGAAGCAATAACAAAATTATAAGTATTTAAAGGTGTCTGTGTGTGTATTTCATTCATTATTTGTCTTAAGGGCAATTAATTTTTTTTCTAAAATACATTCCATATGCAATGAAAACAGTGAGTTTCAACGAAGAAAAAAAAGTTAAGAAAGTCAATGATTATAATTAAAATCAGCAATTGTTTTTGGCTGATATATTTCGATAATAATAATAATAATTCACACATCTATGTTCATTATTGACGAAATTTTTTTTTTGTTTTTCGTAAAAAAAAATTTTTTCATGCAGAAAATTTGTCACTTATTTTTCGTTTAATTTCATTCATTTAATATGTTGTTGTTTTTTTTTTGAATTTTCAAGGGAAAAACGACAATTACAATCTATTCGGTGAATAAATAGAAAATGAAATTGATGTAATATTTGCATTCAGTTCATAATGAAAGTGCAATACCAAACGAATGAACGGAAAATACGTTTTTGAAATTTTATTATTATTACTAAATGACAAAATGGCTTTTCGATTTGATTGAAAATATCCGAAATCAAAGACTATCAATGAGAAAAAAAGAAATAATCATCTTTATCATTATAATAATTATGAATCGAAAAAAAAGGCTGGCGGCTAAAATCTCAGTTTCTTATCGGGAAATTTATAATATTTCATTGAAAAATCCCACAGCAATGTTATTGTGATTTATTCTTTTTCATCGCTCTGTCTATTAAATCAAAATGATATGGCTACATAGAGAATCACATCTGCATATTTTTTAACATTGTTTGATCATCATGAAATTGACCATCCATCCATTATTATCATCATTATAATCATCAAAGCGAAAAATTATCCACGAATGAATAAACAAACAGTAAAAAAAAATTATCGATAATTCAATTTATTAATTATCGTTTGTTCATGATCCAAAATTTTTTGCCACATTGAAATTCATATATGTGAAACTAGGTTACTTGGTCTGTTTCTCTTTATACTCTCTCTCTCTATTTTTTTCATAATTTAAATTCAATCATCATTTTTTTTCTCTTTTGTTTGTTACTTTCACTGTTAATTAATTATCTTCAATATTTTTTTATATATTATTTTTGGTCATTCTCTTCAAATCCAAAATATCATTTACAAATATTTTGTCTGTTTGTTTTTTTTCCTTCTTCATCTCATCATAATGATGACAAAAAACATATCCATATGCTATTGAAAGAAGATTGTATTGTGAAATTATCATCATTTTTGCTTCATCAGATAAACGATTTTTTCGTTTTCTTATATTTTATGTTTCAAAATATGTAACTAAGATTGATATTTTTTTTTCTTCAAAATATTCATTCACATACAGACTGCATCAAATGAAAGGACAATACACCTTGGATCAACATTGAATATATTCATTTCAATTTCACTTGAATTTCATTTCACAAAGATAAAATAAAAAAGGTAATCAAGGTAATATAAACTCAAGTATTCAAAAAAAATGAAACCGATTAATTTAATATTACAAGGTTGATATATTATATGAATATATAGGCAAATTTAATTACCCATTTTTTTGGTAGTAATATAGAGATTAATCTAGAATTTTCCGTTTCTCTTTTTTTACACAATCAATCAATCAATCAAATAATGAAAATTAATGATGTTATCGATCAAACGGAAGTTAAATAGGGAAAGAAAATTCAATTTTTTTTCAAACTTGGTCATAATTCAATCAGCAGCTGGTTTAAGGTTAGGATAATGAAATGAAATTTGATATTTTGCATCATATTTTTTTTATACCTATACAATGTTTATCATTGTTTGATTGATTGATTGATTGATTGATTGCTTGTTATTGAACTCAAACATGTGTAGATAAAAAAAAGTGTAGGCGTAATTTACCTGTGTGTAAGTGTGTTTTTTTTCATTGAAACATTTTTTTTTCTGTTTGAAATATCATCATCATCATCAGGTCTGTATTGAAAAGAGCTGCTGTTTTTTGTTGTTGTTTGGAGGGCAGGACAACAACATCTTTCTCGTAACAATAGCGGATTTTTTTTTTTACTTTCGTCCTCAAAAAAATGAAAACAAAATAGAAAAAAAAACTTGAATCAAAATGAATAGAGAAAAGAAAGAGAGAGTGAGAGAAAACCGTAGTTTTTTTTCGAAAGATCATTCACTGTAAACGATGAACTGACTAACAGCAAAATAACGTGTTGTTGTTGTTGTTGTTTTTTTCCCCAAATAAAGATAATGGTAATAAGAAGACAGAAAAAAATGACATAAAGACACGGACAACATTTCTTTATTTTTCTTCATTTCTTTTTAAATTTTCTTTGTTGACCATTTTTATTTCGTTTATCAAAAACATCAACATCATCATTATTTGTCGTTTGTCGTCTATCATTTTTTTTTTGCTTACCAAAGAAAATATTTTGTGACTTTAAGAATTTTTTTTTTGTATGATATGGATTTTTTTTTCTAAATTAATCATGACGACAGCGATAATAATGGTGATGATGATAGATTTTGTTTTGTTTTGATTTTTTTTTCTTTTAAAAAATCATTTAATTTTTGTTTTTACTGGCAGAAATATCATCATTGTTATTCATTCATTTATTATTCCATCACTGCCTTCGATTTCGAAGAAAAAAATGATACCAGGTGTTTGTGATACAACAACAGATAAATCAACATCAACAACAACAACAACACCAGCAGCAACTACAACAATGATGAATTCACGTGCGATGAACAAGAAGAATACCTCAACAATACAAGTTATTGGTGGTACAATTAATCATCAACAACAGCACGGATTAATGTGTTCACAGCAATCAATATTAACAGCAATGGAACGTTTTGTACGTTCAATGAATAATATGGATGCAACCGTATTAGTACCATCAAAATTACGTGATATGGATAATATTGGTTTAAAAACCGAACGTCATATTATTCCATCAACATTTTCAAATATAGCTAATCAGACGAATGAATTACATAATTTTTTTATAATGTTAAATGATGTTAAAAAAGAATTATTATGGGGTTGTTCAACTAGCTCAACAATTACTTCTATGGCTCAATCATCATCACCTATATCGTCATCATCATCGTCAACTAGTCATGAATTTGTATATAATAATCATCGTAGAAATAGTACAATCAACAATAATACAATATTATTCAATAGGTCAATTAGTGTACAATCATCATTGACTAATCAATCGATAATAAACAATCATAATAATTCATCAATTTTGGCAATTAATAAACAACATAGTCGACAATCATCACAGGAAGATTGTCTTGGTAGTATTGGTTCAAGTGTATCATCATCATCCGATACTGAAAGTGATGCAGATTCAATGCTTACCGATAGTATTGAAGATTCAACATCACATTTATTTGTTTCATTTCGTCATCATTTACAAGGATTACATTCAATTCTTAATCAATTAGCTGATTCAGCTGATTTTCTTTCCGTTCGTTATCAAGAAGAGATTGGTGATATATGAAGAATATTGATCTAATGATAATGATGATGATTTGAAAAAAAATCATAAACATCATTTTTATTTGAAACAATTTAAATGCCTCATCTATTTTGTTTGTTTTATTATAAACTGCTTCTTCTGCCTATTTTTTTAGTTTCTTTTTTTAGTATTCACCTCTTTGTTTTTTTAAAACCACCACATCTGTGATTGTGTGTGTTCTTTTTATATTCTTTAATTATCATTTCATTCTTTCAAGATTTTGAATAATTCTTCCTCTATCAATCAATCAATCAATCAATCCATCCATCCATCATATGGACTAATCAATCTTTTTTTCTTTGGTTGTTGTGTTGTTCTCTCTTTTTCTTCATGTAATCAATCCATTTTTTGAAACAAAACAAAAAAGAAAGAAACTGTTATCTTATCATTTTTGTTATTTTTGGTTTATCATCATCATCATTATATCGACCATCTTTTTTTGTTCGTCATTCGCATCGTTATACAATCAAGTTACAAATAATTATTGGTGACAACAAATTATTCGACATGTAATATGTAACGGATGTTATTTCATATACTTTAATCTTCACTTCAGTTTTTAAAAAAATGATTCAAAATTCAAGTTGATACGATCCAACAACGAATTTAAAAACAAGCAAATGCAATAATGAAAATTAAGCAAAAGATTATCGATAAGCTGATCAAAAAAAATAAAAAAAGAGTCAATATCTCCTTATCATCATCATCATTGGCATGCCTTGAAGTAACAAGTGGCAGCGAATAATTTTGCAAATAAACATCATAAATGAATGATAGAACTCAACACGCATTATAATCTATAAGAATGATATTTGGGACACACTGACATACGTTGTATAATAAAAAAAAAGAAAATTTCAACTTTTTCAACTTGTTGCTGTTGCTGGATGCTGTGGCAAATATTGACCACTTTGAAGTCGTCATTCAATCTTTAAAAAAAAGTAATTGTAAAAGAAATGATAAAAAATGGAACAAGAACGAACAATTTTTTTTTTGAAAATCGAAAGCAGGAAGAAAGTTTTTGAAGAAAATAAATAAATAAAAATATTTCTTCTTCTTTTTTCCCATTCAAGTTGATGTCTGATATTGAACGACAACGAATTTGATGATATAATAACAATGGTTCATTATTGGACACAAGATGATGATGATGATGATGATAACCTTTGGCACAACGATTGATATATACGTAGATTTTTTTTCTCCTCCCAAATCATATCACATCAATCATTTTATATTGACCTATTATTAAAATTAGACCAAGAAAAAACAAATTATATTAATTAATTAATAATTTTTTGTAAAATAATATGATTTTTTTGTTGTTGATTTATTGATTGATTAAAAAAATTAGAAACAAAAACGATTCTTGCTTATATAGAATATTGCTGTTTGAGAAAAAAAAAACATTTTTTTCCACCAGCATTTCATCAACGAACAAAAATAATATTTGATTAGCAAATCACGACGAATGTTGTTTTTTGTTTTTGTCTTCAGTTTCATCATTCATTTTTTCCCCATTTCATTTTCATTTGGTTTTTCTCGTTGTTTAAATTAAATGATGATGATGATGATGGTGGTGGTGGGGGAAAATAATATTTAATTTTTTTGTTTTTAGTATATACTGCCAAAATAAACTGCTACCTTATAACTGTAATGTGATATGTTGAAACATACATACACATCATGTGTTATCTTGACTATACCGCGGTTGAAGGTTGATGCGCTATTGACAAACCGTAAACATCACACACACAAATCAAAACAAGCCGCTAATTTCTTTACGAACATTTTTTTTCGGCCCAATTTTTTTCCATTGATTAATTCATTTTTTTTTTAGTTGCTGTTGATAAATAAATTTCACAATCGGATATCACATGCTTTAGCCACCATCATCATCATCATGATCACCACACACAATTATTAAAACCATCAGGATCATTTGATTCAACCTTCTTCTCATGTATTAAATTTCGATAAAAGTGAAGAAAGAGAAACAAAGCTTTAAGCTAATTGTTAATTACCTTCTTTCCTGTTTTTTTTTCATTTTACAATTTATAATGGTTTGATGGTCAGAGTAACAACAACAACAACAAAAATCTAACTGTATTAGAATGGTTTGAGGCAAAATCTGTTTCTTTCGTTTGCTACTTTCACTTTTCACTAATCTATCTCATCATTGCCACCGATGATACTACTGTATTGTCTAAAAATCATTGTTGTTTCAATCATTCATCAATTTCAACAGAAAATAATCGATTATTAATCGATTGATTATCATCGATGATTTTTGCCATTGTATTTTGAAAACAGAATCAAATCCGAATGAAATGTTTTATTACAACATTATTTATATATAAATAGTAGCTATAAATGCATTGCGGTCGAACACCTCTATAATTGACCAAAGAATAAAAAAACTTTGAAATTTTATTTTTCAAAAATTTGAATGAAATATTCAAAAAAAAAATATTCGTCAAATGCGCAACAGTTTATAAATTTTTATCATCGTCAATGCCATCTAGTGATAGATAAATATTTTATTTGAATAACAAAAAATTCATGGCCAAATTGATTTATTTTTATTTAAATTTAAAAAATTAGTTGCCAAATTTTTTGTCAATTTATTTAATTTTTGTAAAGAAAATGATTGTTCATTTGTTGTTGTAAATAAGGTACATAGAATAAAATCTGTAGTATTTAATTTGCACATGATTAAATGATCATTACTAATAGTAGAATCTTGTTGATTGTCAGAATTAATATCACAATTACAAAATACGATTATTTCATCCAAATAATTTTGCACTAATGACTGATTATATACACAATGAATTCGAAGTTTAGTGTTGAATATGATGAATGCTGAAATTGCTTCATCATCAATCAATAAGGTTGATGAATTCAGTACATTTGTTGGTTCTGTTGAGTCATTGATGGCCGGAATTTCTAATACCATATGATCAAGATCAGAATTTTTGGAACTAATTAAACAAACACGTAGATGTTTTGTCAACTGAATGATTGTCAAATTTTGTGGAATGGCATTATTTTCGGACGGAAGAAAAATGTTAATCGTTTTCATTCCTTTATCTAATTCCGCATTGGTAATAGAATTGGTCAGGTAACAAATCAAACAAGTATGAATTTGATGATCGGAAACTAGTGTTGACCACCATTCTTTATTTGCAAATGTTAATTTATCTTCAACAAATAATGCCCAATATTGTATTGATTCTAATCGATTCAGTGAAGATAGAAATGAATTGATTGATTTTGATCGATCGATCGGTTGATAATGAACTGAATGAGCAACAATATTAATTCTATCAACATTAATGGAAACAAATAGATTTACTAAATAATCTAATAAATGATGAGCAAATTTGAGATCACGTTTCTGTTTGTCAAAATCTTCCATAAAAAATACATCAGGTCCACATGTCATCTGAATGGCATTTATAACTAGGACTAGAAAATGATCAAGATGTTTTTCACGTAATAAATATTCTTCTTGACAAAGAATAATTAGCAGTATTTTGCCCTTTGAATGCCATTTGATTTTAATTCGATTGGCTTTCGACTCAGCATATTTCAAGAGACAATCGTTTAACCGCGAAAATTGATTCAAACCATAGAAAACTGTAGATGAATTTAATTGAAAATCACTATTTATTGTTTCATTGTTTGAATTGGATCGTCGAATAAACAATGGTAAACCAATATCGATACTAAAAGCCATTAATTCTAACGAACACATTTCGAATGATGAATTTTTGATGAATTAATTTCGAAAGAATTCTTTATATGAGTTCTAAAAATCGATTAGACTATCGATAGTTTCGCTCGTCATTATTGCCTGATACACCACATTGCATAAATTTTATTTTTTTTTTTATAAAAAGGAGTGTAATTGTAAGGTCACAAACGTACTTGATTAACGATGTTCATACGAAGCAGGATAGAAATGTAAATCAACGAGAGCTAAATTATTTTTTTTCCCACAAATTTTTGACATAATTATCCTGGTAGATTAGATAGGAAAAAAGATAGAAAATAATCTTATTTCAATCTTATGCAACCATTCAACGCGTGATCAAACTAATAAAGCACATTTGAACTCGATTAAAAAAAGAAACAAAATTATTTCAATTTGGTCATCATCTCCTTATTCTTTTAGTATTAACTAATTATTTATTTTTTACTATTTATTCAATCCTGCTTTAATTTCTGTTCTCGTAAATTAAAAAAGGTTAGAATGATAAATTTTTTAAATATTGATTTCAAATCTAATGTAATATTCGATTCTTTTTAGAACAAAATGCGTATCTGGACAAGTGAACATACTTTTGAGTAAGCCGAATTTTGTTTGTTTATTCTTTCTATGTATTCATTATGACCTTTTTATTATTATCATTAAAAATAGACATCAATGGGATACAGTAGTACAGGCTGTATGGAGAAAATATCCAAATCCATTAAATCCTTCTGTGATTGGTATCGATATTCTTGATCGATCAGTTTGTCCACAAACATCTGTGATGCGTACACATCGTTTAATCGGCTGTAAATGGGGCCTTCCTGGTTGGGCTGAAAGTCTTCTTGGTCGTAGTAAAACATATGCAAGTGAATATTCGGAAATTGATCCACGGGCAAAAAATTTTACATTGAGATCAAAAAATGTAAGCCATTTTTTTCTTGAATAATTAACAGTGGATTATATTTGTTTCTTTTTATTTTGAAAAAAAAGATTTCTTTTTGTAATGAACTGTCCATTATTGAACAATTAACGTACAAACCTCATCCGTCCAATCCAAACAAAACATTAATGACACAAGAAACGGTGGTCGAAGTTCATGGTATTCCATTAAGTAGTTATCTTGAAGATTTTGTTCATAAAGACATAATGAGAAATGCTGCAAAAGTATGAATGATTATAATTGAATGATGAAAATCTTAATTTTTTAATATTGAAATCTTTTTTTTTCTCAGGGTCGACAAGCAATGGAATTAGTTATTGGAAAAATCAACGAAGAAGTTCATGATTTAGCACATAAAACAGTAAAAAGTGTTGATGAATTAGCGGGCACTACAAAACGTGTACTGATCAACGATGATCTTGTTAATCGAACACAAAAAAATTCTCTATCTTCCTAAAATTATAATAGCTATTATTATTATTATTATTATGATTGTTATCAAATTCTGTTCTTATTCGGACAATTATATTTGCACATAATTAACGCACATAATGAAATTAATGTGTATCCTTTATTTACCATACAAAAGAAAAAATGATATTTTAAAAAATTAGGAATTTTCCAATTAATTAAAGAATAATGATATATTTTTTTAAAACAAAAATTTTAAATTTATAAAAAAAAATATATTTCTATTCAAGTGTAGTTTGTATGTCGATTTTTTCGGTTTTTGTATCGATTATTCGAACATTTTGTAAAGGACGATCATTAGAATCGGTTGGTAGACTACTGATTCGAAAAATGAGATCCATACCATCAAGAACTTTACCGAAAACAGTATGATGTCCATCCAGCCATGGTGTTGGTACTAATGTAATGAAAAATTGACAACCATTCGTATCTTTACCAGCATTAGCCATACTTATAAGGCCAGGTTGACCATGATTAAGTACAAAATTTTCATCATCAAAATATTGGCCATAAATGGATAATGATCCAGATCCATCTTCACTGGTTATATCACCACCTTGTATCATAAAATTGGTTATGACACGATGAAATAAACTACCATTATAAGATTTTCCTTGATAACCTTCTTCCGAAGCTAAAGCGACAAAATTTTCCACTGTTTTTGGTGCTAATTTTCCAAATAAACCAATATCAATTTTACCGGCAGTTTCATTACCAATAGCAATAGTGAATGTAACTTTATCGGTTACATCTATTTCATATGTCTATAGATATGAAGTTAATTAAAAAAATTATTTAGAAAAATTTCAAAAAAATCATACCTCAATATTAATCGATGAGAAAGCTAAGAAAAAAACACAAAAAACAATCTGTCGATACATCATGAGAATTTGAACCAAACTGTTCATTTTTGTTCATGACTATAGTTTAGTGTGCGGCTTTTGAAAGTTTGATTTTTTTTTCCATTTCTAATCGTCTATAGACAACACACATAGACGATAAGGAATACGATATTAGAAACATATGTGGTTAACAATAACAAACCCAAACCAAAAAATTTTCTTTGAATGTATAAAATGTCCCAAAATGTTTATTAACCACACCACTACCAACAATTCGTCCAACAATTGGGCGTTGGCTTGATGTGTGTTAAATAAACATTAAGAAGATGAAGAAGAAGTTATGCGAAGAAGATGGGTTTTTTGGTGTAAATTATAAATAGCAACTTTCAGTTCCATAGACACTTCCTTGATTCTTGTCATGATGCAAAAAAAAAAATTTGATGTGGATTTCGCTCATGTTTCTTTGGCTTTGATTTTTTTTACAAACAAACAATTATTTAATCGAATGTAACAAAAAAATTTAATGATTATGAATGCGGAACCAAAATGATATTTAAAATCCGATGTTTACAACAAGATAAATTTTGCCCTTCAGAGAAACCTAGAGATGTTGATTTTTTGATTTTACGTTTTTTCTTATTGAAACCACATTTTGACCTCATTGATTGGATCAAGTTTGTCAAAATAACCGATCAATAGTTATTAATCCATTTCGGTTGGTTTTTTTTGAAAAAAGTGTATAATTACCATTGATTAGCTTCGATTTTTCTAGATAGTTTATCAACTGCCATTGATTAACCGATCAACAACTGGGAAACAAAAAAAAATTTTGCGGTTCACTGAAAAACAATTAAATTCGATAGGACAACAACAACAACAAAAAATGATTGTCATCGGTTAAAGAGGCAAAATTGGCGGTCAATTTTTTTTTTCGTTAAAGTTCATTGTTTTTGTTGCAAAACACTCGCTTAATGATTAAAAACATACCGGGTAAAACACATAAACAGTGAAGAAAAAAATTACCTTTCAATTATATTAATGAACCTGATAAAATGGTTAAAATGGTGTGATTAATTAATGAGAGATAATGTTCATTTTTTTCACAAGCAAACACACACACACAATATAACACCCACATCTTTTGTAGTCCAGGTTCAATAATTAAGCCAAAACTATTATCATTAAGTAAATATATATTTTGCATGCATGTTTTTTAATTTCCGTTCTATTTTGTCCGTAAAAATGTTCGTAAAAATTTTCTAGTTATAAAAATGGATTTAAATATGGGATAAAGATTAAAAATCAATCAAGTTATCCGGGACTCAAAATGTGATTCAAAATGTAATGCCAAAATCATTCAAGTGAAACTTCTCTTTACACCTTTTTTGTTTTGTATTTGATCTCTTTTAATCAATGTTTGTTTGTTGCTATAATAAATTAAAGGTTCAAAGTTTTACTATAAAAACAACTGGGATTATATTTTTTGTTCCATCAGTTGTTCTAACAATTTCGAACAAACTAATCTAAATTATTAACCAAGTGACCAGTGTTATTGTATATCATAAAAAATCATTTCGATTTCCAAAAACTTAATTCCGTTAATTCAATTGATCATGCAATATTCAAGATTGTTTTCATTGGCAACCATTATTGCCATCTTCATTGTTGCTCATTTTGATACAGCTTTTGGTGGTAGTCAAAAAAATGAAGATACGATAATCATTGGTGGTGAACATGGTTGTGGTCCAAAATTGGTTTACAAAGGTGGTGGCAAGAAAAAAGGCGATATCATCCTAATGAATGATTGTAAAAAGAAAAAAACACATTACATTCCGTATCCAGTTTATCATGGCGGTTATGAAGAACATGGTGGTGGTTATGGTGGTGGCTATTAATCCTATCATGGCAATAATTGAATGTTCATGATAAAATTCTGGTAATTTTTCATGCACCATATTCAAATTCTTTGTTTTATATGCGGCCTTGTCTTTTTTTTCTTTTCTTGAACTTAATTACAAAATTCATAATATTTATTAAAATTTTCGCCATTTTATTTATCATTTAATAATAATAATAAATTTACAAAAAAAAAAAATATTATTTTTGTATTTTTTGATTAATAATTTATAATTCCAATTGAAGACTGCCTGTTTTTGATTTACGTGAAAACGATGATTTTGATAGAAAAATTATCTTCGATACTAAATAAATAAAACATTCGGATATGCTTTTTCGATCGGTTGCCGATACTTCGATGAATTTAACTTTTTCCTGTGCTACCCATTTGCGAATTTCTTCTAGATTAATGACAGCTTCATTTATTTTGTCCATTTTATTGGCAACCATTACTATCGGTATCTATATCGATGAGATAAATAATCAAGATAAGGTATAGGTTGATAAAGTATTCACTTACATCTTTTTTATCTTTTAATTTTTCAATATTCTTTTTAATCTGAACAGCCATCAAAAAAGAATCTTTATCATTGATAGCGAAAACCACCAAAAAAGCCTATTAAATCATTTAAATTATTACGTAATTAATAATCAAATGGATGTTAGAAACTTACATCACAAAATGAAAGGCACATTTTGATTGCATCGATATTTAATGTTTCCTATATGATGATGATGATTAAAATCAAAACAAAATCAATTTTAAAAAAATGTCATTAAATTCATTAAATACCATTCCACCATAATCATACAGAAAAATTTTTTCACGTGAATTTTTATCATATTCAACCATTGCACAATAAATATCTTCACTTGTTGGTTCATATGAATTTTTCAAACGATAATGATTACCATATATAGCTTCATCAATGATAGTTGATTTACCGACTCTAGGTGAACCTAGAATGGCAACTTTGAATGCATTTTTCATGATTATTGTAATTTGGTCAGCAAATGATGATCATTCATCTCGAAAACAAAACAAAACAAAAAAATTTGATGACGATTAACCATCAGCTATTGGCCCGAAAATCATAATAATCAACCAGTGACATCTAGTGAAATGATTTGATATGAATGGTGGTACAAAATATTGGCGGCCACAAAAAATCATAATAATCCTTTATCAATGTCACAATCGACAATATGTGTAATATATCCGGATAGATTAGTTTATTAAAAAAATCAAACACTATTTTTGGTAACAAAGATTTTTTTTTGCTGATCTTGATTGAAAAAAATATAATATTATCAGACATTATAATGTGATAATGACACTAATCCAATTGTCAAGTTGGTGTGAATATTAATAATAACTTTTTTGGTTACCTTATAATATATATCAATCCTATAATGATTTCACTTGTATACAGAGATTTATTAAGTTTTTTTTAGTTTTTTTACAAATGTTTATTGTTGTCGGTGTTGATGTTTATGATGTCAATAACGATGATGATGATGATTAGATAGTTGCCATTGATAAATAATAAGAAAAAAAATAATAACCGACTAAAACACAAACATTGTCCATTGGTTTAATGGAAATTATTTAGAGAAAAAAAAGTAATGTTTTTTGGATTTTTTTTTTGTTTTTTTTGATTGAATCATCAAAAAACATTTGATTCAAATCATTTAGAATTGTATCAATTTGTTGTTTTTGGTGTAAATGTTTCAACAACCAGAATGTTATTTATTGTTTATTCGATTGATAAATTATCAATTTATAATAATCTAAACTGTATGCATGTATAAACAAATTATTATAAAAAAGAAAGAATCGAATACAAATATAATATGATATCAGTGTTTATTTTAATCTTGTTATTGTCATTTACATCATCAATATTATCATCAACAACATCATCATCATCATCATCATCATCATCATTATCGATGATGGATAGATTTCCTTGCCAAAGTAATTTATTCTATGATTTTCGTAATATTGATCGTTTTATGGATAATATGTGTGCACAATGTTTATGGTATATGGCTGGTAGTGAAAGTCCATGGATTGATTTTGATTCGGTTAATAAATGGCAAGTAATTTATAATTATAGTGATCAAATCAATGTTCTACTTTGCAATCCAAATTGTACGGAATTTACTTATGAAATACTTAAACGGCCAAATAATTCTATTCAAAAAGAATTAAAATCTGAATTTTATATGGTAAGATTTTGATTAAGATTTTTTGTTTTGTACAACATTCATTGATTACAATATTGGTTCATAAAGGGACTTTTACTTGATTGTTGTGAACAAGCACGTCAATGTTGTGAACGAATGTTAAAAAATGGTGATCATAATTTACATGAAAAAAATGATCATTGTCCAGCTAAATGGGATGGTTTTATGTGCTGGAATTCCGCTAAACCGAATACAATTAATTATCAAACATGTCCCAGTATGACATATTTTGCTCTGGGTATTAAACCAACATCATGTCGAAATGAATTAGCAAATAAAGAATGTTGGTCGAATGGTACATGGGCACGAATAAATAAAATACACTTTGATGAAATTCAAAAAAAATGGATCAACTATTCAGAAGAATATACAAATTATCTACCTTGTTCAACACCTGGTGCAACATTAAAATTAAAATTTATTCGCACATCGATAGTCATCTATATTGTTTCATTGGTACTCACATCAATTGGTTTCATTTTATTATGGTCATTTTCAAAAGAACGACCTAAATTAAGAGAAATTCATTTAAATTTTTTTCTATCACTTATACTCACCGCATCATTTTCACTTTGTGTATTAATATTCATCAAAGAACAACATTATCGTCTTAATTCAATGATTGATAAAAAGTTTGTTATAAATTTGTTATAATTTATCTTTACTAATGATTTGCTTCTTTTTAAAAAAAGTCCAATATGGTGTAGAATATTAATGTTATTCATGAAAATGGCACGTTTAACAAATTATTGTTGGATGTTAAATGAAGGTATTATACTTTGGCAAATTGTTGTACATCCATTACCAATCAATGAAATTGGTATGATCAAATTCTATCTGTTAGGATGGCTTTCACCATTCATAATAATTTCATTTTATACATTTATTCATTCAATGAAAAAATTCAATACAAGTTGTTGGACAAAATCAATGGGCTATTGGGAATTGATTTACATTATACCTACGATTACATTCATTGTTGTAAGAATATTATTATTATTTTTTTGACCAAAATCCTGATTCTTAATTGTAATTTTTTTCTTTCTCTCTCCTCATCCAAAAAACAACAGATAAATACCATATTATTAATCTATATGATGTATGTATTGTTAAAAAAATTAACCACAACAAACAATACAAAACAATTACGTTCAAGTGTTTGTAAATCATTATTATTGGTACCAGTGTTTGGTATACATTATATTTTTTATATTGTACCATTCGATCCATTTGAATCATGTGCTACATATCAATTTATATTTCATTATGTTATGATTATTACTGAAGCATTACAAGGTTCAATTGTAACGGCAGTATTCTGTCTCTTCAATCAAGAGGTAAGAATGTGTTTTTTTTGTTTCTTCTGCTGATGATTCTGATTCCTTTTTCTTTTCTTTTTTTAAACAATGTTATTTTATTCATAGATTCATACAAGTATTAAAAGAAAATTTCGATTAAAAAGGCGTCGTCAAAATAATCATTTTATCATTCAACGTCGTAATACAACAACTGTCAACACCGATGATGATGATGATGATGCTACGGAGATGGCAAAATTGAATCAAATTGTAAAACCTAATGATTCATGACTTTTTTTCTCTTTCTCTTTAGTATCCTCATCTCATACAATGATGATTATTGTGTGTGTATGTGTCAGTCATTTTCAACCCGAAAACAAAAATACTAAACAAAATTTACAACCAAAAAAATTTATATTTAATGTTTTCTTTCTTTCTCTCTCTCTCTCGACACATTATAAAAATTGCCAAACAAATGTCATCAAATGTCGATGTCGAAATAAATGTCTTCGTAAAAGATCAAAAACAAAAAAATGCTGACAATTAAGACGAGTGAGAAAAAGAATCCATTCTAAATGTATTCTGGTTTTTTTTTTGACGAACGAATAATGTAATAATCAGCTTCAAAATTTTTTTGCAAACATTTTTGTTAAAAATCCGAGAGAAAAAATGTAAAATGTTCATCAATTCATAGCTTTTCATAATCTTTTTTTTTTTGGGTTTTCTATCTTTTTTCTTTCTTTCTTCAAAAGATTTTATCATTTTGTATTTGTAATCAATCAGATCATCATTTTTTTTTTGTTTGTATTGAAGATTATTGTATTAATTTTTTTGGTTCTTTAAAAATAAATTTCACACATTATTGACATTAAGTTTTTAATCCTCTTTAAAGTATGGTCGATCTTTGAATGTCTCCAGATGTCAAAAACTCTTTTCTCAAATTTTGATGATTTTTAATGATAAATACCATGTTCATTCACATCATCAATGGTGGTTGGTTTGGCTTTCGATTGCCTGTTGCTGTTGTCCATTGTTCTATTTGATGATTATTGATTTTTTTTAAAAAACCATCTGTTGGGTTACTTAATATACAATACACACGCACACACATCTCAAGTTTTTTTTCATTGTCCTTGTGACAAATTATGTCTACAAATATTCCACGTTTTTTTTTCTGGAAAAATAGAAACTAGATCATAACTGGTTTTAACCCGAAATTTATTACTTTATTTTTTTTCAAAAAAAAAATGGCTCAATTATAAATCAAACAATTATAATGACAATAAATTATGTTATTTTTTTCTTTCCTGAATATCGGGGTCTTTGATACAAGAAAAACAGAAAAAAAATCAGAGGAACCAACTATATCTACATTCTATTTCAATGAACGAACCGACCAACCAACCAATCAGCCATTCATACATTCATTCATTCATTCAATGATTCAGTCGACATTAGGCATGTTGTTGTTGTTGTTCATTCAAACCACGTATTCAACGATAAAAACCAGCCAAAAGGCTCGAATTGATTTTTTTCAAAAAAAAATATTATCATCATTTACCGCTGTTCATGTTAAATGAAGACATGCCAATGTTTGGTCTGCATATGTCTATCTGTGTGTGATGCGACCAAAATTATTCTCGTGTATGTGTGTGTGTGCGTGATTATTGTGGCCACAATGGCCATTTTTTTTGTACAAAGTTCAAAGTCAATTATAAATCCAAAAAAAAAAAATTCATTGAACAATTTGATTGATTTTCTTTCTGAACGATTCAACTTTCAATCATCATCATCATTATCCTAACTTTCACCTGTTGCTTTTCATAGTTACTATTTAAGTTAAAGTTGGTCGCGTAGAAGATTGATCGATTCGGTCTGATCAGTTTATTCATTCATTCATTCAATTATCATTTGCACAAAAAAAAACCAACTAACCCAAAACTACCGTTGTTCATATGTTATTTACGTGGATAAAATGATCATCAATTTTTCGTTTTTTTTTTGTTCTGCTTATACCAAAATAGCAACTGTCGGTCAAACTAATTAATCTTTTTTTTAGTTTGACTAACACAAGACCACCACCACCACAACCATTAAAAAAAGCCATCAAGCCTTGAATTTTTTTGTGGTTTTTTGTTTTTTTTTTTCGGTCGGTGCTTCATCTTTCGATCGAATCGAAGAAGCCGGTATAATATTTCCATGGTTGTTCATTCTGATATGTTTATTATTGTAATGATGATGATCATCATCATTTTGAACATTACCTGATTATCATTAACACGACCAAAATGTTTTTTCTTTTCCTGCCGTTTTTTGTACAAACACTGATCATAATAATCAACCAACCGATTCAACAATGATTTTTTTTTTGTTTATTTGTTTTTATGCCAATGAATTTTGTTTATGGTAGTATATATCTAAATCTAAATAAAAATACCATAAATTTTTTGTTTGTTTTGTTTTTGTCTGTACGATTAATATGAAGATGTAATCTTCATTTGAATGTTTGTATTAGTTTTATGATATCACACAGACATAGACGATTGCGAAATAGAATTTTTGTTGTTGTTGCAAATATAAACGACAAACGATAATTATATGAACAAACATGAGAATTTAAAAAGAAAAAGAAAATGAAGCAGAATTTTCCCTTCTTCTTGTTGTTGTCGGATATCGTCTTTCATTCATCCACAGATCGACTAACTAACTAACCAACCAACCAACCAACCACACATAGTTTTTTCCATATTCAAATAACAACAATCACAATGATAATGATGATTACAGATGTGATGTGTGTGTGTTTATTTAATCTCATCATCATCATATGAATTTGTAAATTCAGGTCAAATATGATGATTGGATATTTGATGTTAATCTATCGATTCAAATGTAAAAGTGTTGTTCAATCATCATCGAATATCGATATATTTTCAATGTTTTTTGTTTCTGAGTTCAAATGAATTCCAATGATTAGAAAAATTCTTTTGAAAAAAAATTCATTATCAATATCTACTAATGAAATCATTAACGTCGTTTGTTTTACGAGCCAAAATTTTGGCTCGATTAAAATATCGACCAATCTCGATCAACAAAAACCAAATCATAATCCTAATAATCATCATCATGTATTTATTCATGATTTCATCAATACATTGTACATCATTATCATTTCATCGAATGCATCATGAAAATATGAAAAATAGTGAAATGAATCATCAAAGTTTTTTGTCTCGAAATTTCAAGTTTACCGATGAAACAGAAAATCTAATCGATAATGATGATTATGATCAACAAAGAAAATTTCGAAGTCGAAATAAAGATGAATCTACAAATGTTTTGACAACAAAATCTTCGATTATTGAATCACCACAATCATCATCATCATCATTTACATTTTCCGATTCATTATCTCAACATAATTCATTGAATAATGATGATGATAATGAAAATTTTATATTTCGTCATGAATGGAATTTTACCGAAGTAAATCTAGCAAATAGTCATCTATTTTATATTCGAACAAAATATTCATGTTCAACACCACGTGCTAAATTGATAAAAGTATTGGATTATCATTCATCACCATCAAAACAATATGTACCAAGGTAATGGTTATATTCTGAATAAATATCTATGGAAAATCTTATTAAGAATTTGTTTGTTTGTTTTTATTTTCTGCAAATTATAGATGTACCGTACTGCATAGATGTGATGAAGAAAGTGGATGCTGTGAAGATGTGTAAGTTTTTTGATGAATTTATTTCTGAGTTGCTTTTGTTTGTTGCAACTAATCCAAAAAAAAAATCATATTTTTTTTCACAGGACTCATCGCTGTGAACCAAGTAAAACACAATTAATTGAATTATATTTTCATGTAATTCGTTCCGATATGAAAAATAATATAACTGGCGGTAATGCTGTTGGTATTGAACGGTTAACATTTTTAAATCATACACATTGTGAATGTAAACCAATCAATTATATGCCAAGAAGTGTACAAATTCGACCTCCATTACGTTTAATGAGCTCTGATGGTGGTCAACAACAAGGTCATCCTTATCATCATCATCGTCATCATCATCATAATCATCATCATAAATGCAAACATGTCATCAAATGTCCTGAACCATTTATACAAAGATTTCGTGGTTCAGATCAACGTTGTATTTGTGATTGTGTTCATCAAACAAGCCAATTTAATGCCAATAATAATAATGATGAAAAAATTTCCTATAAATATTGTCTTAAAATTCAAGATGGTTTTGAAAAATTTGATCCATTTCAATCTAAATGTATACAAAATGGTGAATGTTCTGAACCTATTTGTTCATTTGGTTTACGATTCAATAGAACTGAATCACAATGTTTAACACCACAGAAATCAGGTGTATGGTCGAATTATAATCATAACAACCACCAACTGTTACAGACTAGTTTACATTCATCGTCAAATAATCATCATCAACAACAACAACAACAACAACATCGTCATGACCTTCAATATCATAATCATCGTTATGGATATCATCATTCTCGAACTACCTTCAGTAACCTTAATGACCAAAGCATAGTTTGAACAACAACAACACCGAAAAAATCGATGGTATAAGATTCTTGTCATTCTATTATATCGTGTTCATCCAATTCAATAGCAATCAAAATAAAAATAAAAAAACCAGAAAAAAAATCATTTCCAATTCATGCAAAACGCTTAAAAAAAACAAACATTTTCATTTAATCTTTTGATTTATTTGTAAAAAAAATATCCATCATTTTTTTTTATATTAAAATAAAAAATCATAATTTTTTTTCATTGAAGTTTTCTTGTAAAAATGATTAACATTTTTTGTTTGTTGTTGAAATAGACACCCTCTCGATGGCCATGATGATTTGTTGGCTTTTTGTTTAATCAGAAAAAGAAAAAACACAAAGCATCCTTTTTTGGACATCATCAACGATACACAATAAAATTGTTGTGAATTTTTTTTTCCTGGCTGTCAAATAAAGTATTCAAGTTTTTTTTTTCGTTGCCGATTTCGTTTGCTGGTTTTTGTTTTTGATACCTCAAATCATTACATACCATACATACTCTGCATAAACACTCATATAACAAAACATCAAAATTTCAAATCATGGCCATGGTCAAAATTTTTAATTTTTTTCTCATATTTTCAATCATCATCATTTATGATTTAAATTTTATCTGTAAGTTGAATTTTTTTTTCTATGAATAATGATGAAAATTTTTCTCAAAAATTTTAAATTAAGTTTCTTCGGAACAACAACAACAACAAAAATGTCCGAAAGAATGTTCAAACAATGAACAATATTCACCAGTATGTTCATCAAACGGTACGGTTTTCGATAATGAATGTTCCATGCATCTTTTATCCAATTGTAGGTAAGTAAAAATTTTCATTTTCATTTTCTGCCGGATCATATCGAAAAACTCATTCAATTCTTTTATTCAATACAAAGTTTAAACATTAGTGATTGGGAAGAATGTCGTGGATTACATCCATTATGTCCGGCTGATTGTTTAGATATTCAAGATCCTGTTTGTGCAGGTTAGTTTTCGTTTTGTTTGAAGTAAATTATACACACACACCCTTGACTCCAAGATCTTTATCCATAAATTAAGTCTTTAAAATTTTCTCACACACAAAAAAACGAATCTAATTAACTAATCTATTACATAATCATAATCCAGATGATAATAAAATCTATCCGAATAAATGTGTGATGCATAAACGTAACTGTGGGTAAGAGTTTAAACCATGTTATTGATGTATTTTATGAATTCTCATTAAGTTTTAATTAATTGTTTAACATTAGAAAATTGATCCGGGAGCGTCCAATTTTATTTTGTCTTGGAAACAATGCTCGAAGTAAGATTATTATCAACAATATCAATGGATATAATAAAATTTCTAATAAAACAAAACAAAACAAAATTCTCACGTAAAATAGAATCCAGACAGGATCATTGTCCGGACAATTGTCTTGAATTATATAAACCTGTTTGTGGAAGTGATGGTCAAGTTTATCTAAATGAATGTTATCTAAAAATGCAAAATTGCGAGTAAGTAAATTAAATAATCAATGTTTTTTTTGTTGTTGAAAAGATAATCTATTGAATTCTAAACAAAAAAAAAATCGTAGCAATGGAATTGAAAAAGTAGATATGAACGAATGTGCAACCGCTTCCAAATGTCCTGCCTATTGTATTCCAATCTATGATCCAGTTTGTGGTTCGAATAAAAAAATCTATCTAAATCAATGTATGATGTTGAAAGAAAATTGTAATGCTACAATTAAAAATATGCCATTACAATTCTGTGTTGGTGATGATGTTGATAAATTATAAACAAACAAACAAACAAACAACGAACGGTAATCTTTTTTTAAAACATTCGAATTTTAATTTTTCGATTGAAATTATTCATCATTATTATTTTTTGTTGTGAATGCAAATAAAATTGATTATAATAATAAAAAAATTTTCTGAATGTATGAAAAAGCCTATGATAATCATCATTACAAGTGGAAAAATGTAAAGATTTAATTAGTACGAGCACGCATTGCTGAACGACGTCCAGTAACGGCTTGAAATCCACTTTTAATATTGGCTACAGATCTTCTTGATCCACAAGTTTCGCATTGTAAGAAAAATAGACGAGTTTCTTTTTGAAGAATAGTTTCCGGTGAACGACAAGTTTGGCAAGCAACATATTCCTCTGTGGACAAGAAAAAATGTTAAATAAAAAAAATTATACGATAAAACAAAACATACTAATATATCGTCGAAGTACACTTTCGATCTGTTTCTGTTGGAAACGGCCTTTGATGATCAATTGATTATTTGCATCAACTGAACCACTGGTACCCAATTCGGTCAATAAAAAATTCTGCAAATGTTTCGGCTGTCGATGAAGTCTACAATAAATTCAATTATTAAAAATTAATTAAACACTGTTATTTTTAAAACTTACGATTTACAAATTTCAAGAAAATTTGCAAATGATGTTTTTTTGGTACCAATACGAAGAACTTGTGGAGGACGTAATACATATTTCTTTCTACCACCAGATTCGCTTTCAGGATTCTTTTCCTTGATTTTGTTATAAATCATTTCTAATAATTCATCATAAGTATAATCTCGATCCGAATCTAACCATTTAGATGGACCACCACTGAATTGAATTTCTTCTTTCAAATCATCATCAGCATCTATATCGTTTTCTTTATCAAAATCATCTTGATCCGGCAAATCAAAAGTAGTCTTCTTCTTTTTCTTTTTCTTCTTCGATACACTAAAATCTAGATCAAAATCATCAGCTACAGTTTCGGTAGCTTGAGAATCATCCGGCTTTTCATCACCAGGGCTTTCTTTTTCTCCACTTTCGTTTGGCAAAGCATTTTCAAGTTCTTCCAGATTGAAAGGCTTCTTTTTCTTTTTCTTTTTTTTAAGACCGGAAAAATCTGCTAAATCCAAATCATCATCCACTGGAACATCATTAGTTTTTGTTTCAGCAGCAATGTTTGAATCATTTACACTTTCAGTTTTGACCGATGATTCTTCATCATTCAATCCACTAAAATCATATGGTTTTTTCGTCTTCTTTTTCTTTTTGGTGGTCAAATCTAAATCCTTGATGGTCATAATAGAAAAGAAACCAATATATTCAAAGTTATAATCAAATTGCATCTATTATACAAATAAATTGATTACCAATTCATCGTCGGCCATATTATTCTCGATATGAAAATTGAATTGCAAAAAAAAAAAAATTGATTAACAATTATTGCATCAGAATACACAACACTGTTGCTGATGTCGGTGTTAGCGAAAAAAAAAAAAGAATCGGACAATGCTCTGCCAATGAAAAAAAATGCACGACACGCACACACGTAAAGTATCGATACTATCGAAAATGTGATGTGCGCACAGTACAAACCCGAAGAAATTGAAATAGTCGACAAGTCCATTATAATTTCAGCTTGTTTATCCCTTTTTTTTTGAAAAATTTATTTTGTTTATTTTCAGTTATTTTCTACAAAAAAAAAATAATAACAAACACTCAGGGAATTTATCACCTGGATGGGAGACGTTCAAACAATGTCTCTGCCGGATTTACCTGAAGAACTAGTTGAAAGACAACGGCAAGAGAAAAAAGATCTAAATGGTATGTGTTGAATATTTACAATACGTTTATTGAAAATTCAATTTCAATTCTTATAGCTAAAATTACAAAACTACGGTTTAGTGTTCCTAAAAATGATAAGAAAAAGAAGAAAGAGATAAATAGTCAAATTGAATTAATGGAAGCAGAATTGAAAGCAAAACATGAACAAGAAATATTCGATTGGCAACAACAACAAGATCAGCTACAACAACAACATTCTCCCGAACAAAAAGCTTTTTTAGAATCATCACAGAATGATAAATCTGATGATAATGATAATGAAGAAAATAATAGTTCCATGGAAAATTTAAATAAACCAAAGATAACAAAATCACAACGTAGACGAGAAAACAAAGAACGTAAAGATCGTGAACGACAAGAACGTATCAAAGCTGGTCTATTAGATGATATTGATAGTACGAGATCGATCGAAATGAAAAAAATTGAAAGTCTTTTAGAGGAAAGAAGCCTAAGCCTTTGTGAAATACCATCGGATGGTGATTGTATGTATAAAGCAATCGAACATCAGCTTCGTTTGACACGAAATATTGATCAAACCGTTGATGAGCTACGATATCAGGCTAGTGAATACATACGTCAAAATAAAGATGATTTCCTGCCATTCTTATTGAATGATGAAAATAGTGTAGTAACTGATAAAGAATTTGAAGTGTATTGTGATAAAATAGCGAATACAAAAACCTGGGGTGGTCATCTAGAATTGAAAGCCTTGTCAAATACTCTTAAAGTGCCTATCGAAATTATTCAAGCCGAAGGTACTCCAATACAAATCGGTTTCAGTGAATTTGGTTCGAAAAATCCTTTGATTCTATGGTAAATCTTTTATCATTATTATTATCATTATTATTCAAATAATCATTTATCATTTTAGCTACTTCCGGCATGCCTATCGTTTAGGTGAACATTATAATAGTGTTATGCCGAATGGTGAAGTGCCCGATGATGAAGAATGGCACAATACTGAATGACATTTTTTTTTCAAAATTTAATTTAACAGATGGTCAAATCCTTCCAATCAACCAATCAATGAATGAATGAATGAATGAATTTAATTCAATCCAATCATCTATAATTTTCTCTTGATAATGCATTTTTTTCATCATCATTCTATTTTATTTTCATTTTCCCCTTCCAATTGTATTATAAAACACACACTTTTACATACACTGACACTGACACAATGATATTAATTATTTTTCTTTTGCTTTTTTTGTGTATGAATCATTTTATTATCGTCACGATTATGTTTGCAAACAAGAAAATAATGATATTGATTTATCCTATTTTTTTTTTAAATCTGCTATATATAAATTATGTTTATAAAAATTCTATGGTGATCATCATCATTTTTCATATTCCAAGTTTATTACCAAGTTAATTTCGATGACATACAAAAGATCAAGAAAAATAATTTGATAAAAAAAAAGGTAAAAATCTTTTCTTTTTCTTTTTTTTTCTCTGTCCAACTAAAACATCATCATCATCATCATCTATTGTTATGTCACTAATTTTGTTTATTTCTCGGTTCGTTCAACATCAAAAAAATTTTTTTCTTCTGGTTGATTCGGTCATTGACTTGTTCAATGTTCTTTCGAGTGTGTCTATAACAGATATCGGTGTATGCAGATGGTTAATACTAAGATTGCTTATCATTAAACAAAGTCGACTATAGTAAAAAAGTTGATTCGTGCTTTCGTTGAGCCCGGTATTCAACTTGATTTTATTTTCCGATCAAGTTTAGGATATTACTTTGTTTTCTTTTCTATTTTTATTCAATTTTGAATGTTGTTAAGGTTTTTTCTTTATACCTGGATCATCCTTATCGTCAATGATGATGATGATGATCGACAATCCATTTCTGACATTATCTAAAGATGTAGCTTCAAGTGTAATGCCTCATTTCTTTTCAAAGTTCAAATAAATCGATGCTGATTGATGACAATACAAAAATCCAATAAAATAAAAAAACATGAATGATCATATACCAATCATAAATTGTAGGGATCAAGAAGAACCGCCGCCGCCATTATTATCATCAATTGTTGATTATCATCGATTGCCACAGGTATGGCAAAGTAGAGCTTTAAATTTTAATAAAAATATTGTGAAAAAGATAACAAATGCTGAAAAATGTTGTTTAATTGAAAAACCAAATTTTAAAATGAAATTTAAACAAGATATTGTTGATAATTTTTGTCACTCAACAGAATCCACACGGTCGATTACACCTAATTCTTCAAGTTTAATGTGTCTGTCAACTGAACATCTAATTAAACCGACAAGTGATCGTCACCGTCATCATAATTATCACCATCATTATAATCATTATCATAATCAAAGATTATATAAATCAGCTATGAATTTTGATCGACGATTTAATTATTATAAAACGTCAAAAAATCAAAATCCATATTTTATTCGTTTTGGTAATTTATTATTTTGATTTTAGCTTTTTTTAAAAAATTAAATAATGATCATTAAAATTTTCATTCAGACAATCATGGTCAACCAACAAAATTTTCCAAACATCAAATGCCTCATAAATGGTTTTCTTCAAGAGATATACGAGATTATCATCAAATACCATCATCATCATCATATTCTTGGTTTCCATCGGCAACATATTTCTATCCAAACAACATGAGAATAAATCGTACAATATTTCAACCTACAAATAATCATGGTCTTCATCATCTTTATTCTAGTCAAACATTTTATCCAGGAGCTTATTTTCCAACAACAACAACATCGACAAAAATATATCCCACACAACCAATACGAATGTCATATAGCCATCATCCATATAATACTACAGCTACTAATCAACAACTGCCAATTCAATCAAAATCAGAATTCAACAACAACAATAATCGTATTTTAAACAATTATTATTATCATCATCATCATCAACAATATCCATATAACAATGGTCAATGTAAACTTTTATCAAAAGCATCCATATCTTCATCATCATCAACCAATACTAATGGCCATATAATTGTTTTGGTGATCATACTTTCTGTAATTGCAATTGGTGTCGTTATGGGCTTAATACTTGCAATAACAATCAATTAAATTATAAATTATAAATTATGATTTGTAATGAATTTGTAATGAATATTTATTCATTTCAAAGTTGATCACAGTAATACAATCAATCGTTTTATATATGGTCATCTCATCATTTGATACATTTGTATAATATAAATAAATTCTCAAGTGATAAATAAGGTTTTTTTTAAAAAAAATATGTATGCAATTTTCTAATGAATAATACAATTATTAGTAGGATATCAATATTATTTGATTGAATGGAATTGATTAGAATAATAATTTATAACAATAATGAAAAATCTTTTCGTAAAAGAATTTCCAATAATTTAGGATGTGAATCAAAATTTCTTGGTAAACTACGTTTTCGACATAATTCTTCCAATTTTTTTTCTAAAGCAAATTTTTGTTGGCCAGAAAACCATTCATGACGAAGTGAAAGAAGTATAAGTGGCACAATTAGCTGACTGGATTCATAAAGATTATCAACTTCGAAGATTGTATTTGTGTTGTCATTTGTACCATTTTGGCTAGGCATCAAAACAACAGGATTTTCGAATAACATTTCAAATGTTTTTCGTGCTAATTTTTTTGCATCGGTTGTATTATCGACAGCATTAAGGCAACCAATCAGACAACATAACGTATGAATCAATTGACGATCTGGTCGTCCACTATGTGATGATAATTTATCTTGAATATAATAAACATTCTCAAGAATGCTGGCCGCTTCTTCTAATCGTATGAATTTTAGGCAATTTTTTGCCTCTCTCAATTCCGGATAATAAAGAAATTGGGCAAATTCTTTTGATGATCGAATTTCGGTTAAACTAAGGCAATAGGTTAGAAATTTTTGAAATGACAAACTACGTTCTGCTATCACTTCTGCGGAAAAATTGCCAATAAAAATTTTTTTTGGAAATATAACATCTTTGAGCAATAATGGATATTTTCTTCTGATTGCATTATAAAAATTACGAAATTCTGAATATCTTCGTTCAATGATAGCCGGTTCGGTTTCCAATCCGGGTATTCGTTTCATTAGAATAGTATAATTAACAAATTTTTGTCTTGTTTCATTATTAGTTATTGTACGAGCTTTGATTATTTCAAATATAACACGATATTGTGCTTTACGAGGTGTAGTTGATTCAATTAGATTATCATTCCAAATGTTCAAATAACTTTCGTCATTAATTTGATTATAACTGGAATTCATTGCTGAACTAGAGCTGCAGCTAGTATCAATTGAATGATTATGATGACCATTTTCGATTGTATTATGATTGTTCAATGGAATTGGAGCAAGTATTTCCAAACGTTCGGAATTATTATTATTTGTTTGGTCATAAATTTCCAGATTATTTTCTTCATCATCATCATCACTAGCCAAATATGATGAAAGTAATGTTGATTTACTACGAATTCGTGTATCACTTTGATTCATTTTTGTTGAATGTTTTTTTTTTGTTTTCGCTCATCGATGATATGATGAATCAAGAATGATCATATTAACATTGATCGACATAATTGTAAATGAAAAACAAAATGTCTAAGAAATTTAATTCCCTAATTAATAATTTGATATCAATTGTTTACTGATGCAAGAAAAAATATATAAACAAAACGCAGTAAACAAATTGCGACATAATATTATTTCCAAATAAACTGTTGCTGATTTTATACGATGTTAGTAGTTATATGCACACTTTGATTTTTTTTTATTTTGAATCAATTTTTTTTCAAAAATTAAATTTAATAGAAAATATAAAATGTAGAAAATTTTTTTTTAAATAAAAATCTTATCAATTTCCTAATTTTAGACGAGCAAATTCATCAGATAATTTAATAGCTTCTTCTAATGATTCAATTTTGCTACCAGTAGCTTGAGCTGATTCCTGTTTACCACCACCTTTTCCTTCGATGAGTGTCGTTATATTCTGAATCCATTCGTTAGCGGTCAATCCTTTTTGAACTGTTTCTTTCGATACATTTGAAATACAGATAATTTTATTTGCATCCGAATCGATACTGAAAAATAGCACAGCCAGATTGGGATTAATACCTCGAGCAGCTTTAACTGCTTGGTCGAGTGCCTTGGCATTGGAGCCAGCATCTAACGAACTGACAATAAATTCCGAATTTGGATTGTCTTCAGCCAATTTTTTGGCTACCTTAATAACTTCGTTTGCTTGTGATGCTTTCAACGATCGTTCATAATCATCTAGTTTTTTCTTCAATTGGTTCAAAGTATTACGAAGTTCTTCTTTTTTCCAGCAAGATATATCTGATGCAGAGACTTTTTGCTGTAAATCAAGCACTTTTTTAACCATATTTTTTAGTTCAGTAGAAAATTTTGATTGATTAGCATTAATATAAATTCCTAATTCCGATGCAAGTTTTTCAAGCTCGGCCAATTTGTTAATCGATCGAGTAGCTTCAGGACCTGTAACACAGACAATTCTTCTGATTCCCTTGGCAATAGCTTCTTCAGTGGTAATAACAAAATCACCAATATGTCCACTTCGTTTAAGATGAGTACCACCACAAAATTCAACCGAAGTATTCATACCAGCCGGACTGGATGGATCATTTAATAGGTCATCCACAGGAACGCCAATCGAGACAACACGAACTGGATCGGGATAGGTTTCATCAAAAACAGCACGCAATCCTTTCACAGCTTTAGCCATTGAAAGTGGAGATTCTTTTGCATAAACGATTTCATTCTTGTCAATCATTTCTCTTGCTATACTTTCGGCTTGTTTTACTTGAGCACTTGTCATTGCAGACTAATATAGAAAAAAATGAACAATTCTTATTATAGATAAAATATGTAGGGAAAATAATATATAACTAACTTTATTTGTAAAATCGAATCGAAGTTTATCAGCAGCTACGAGTGATCCTTTTTGATCAGTTTCTTTTAGTACAGATCTTAGAGCATAATTCAAAACATGAGTACCGGTATGATTATTCATAATAAATTTTCTTCTTTCCTTTAATTAAAATAAAAAATCCAATATTAATGAATATTCAATTATAATAATTTATAATAATTTACAAACCTGATCAATTTCTAGCCGAAGTACATCACCCACACAAAGTTTAGAAGATTCTTGCATTAAATATCCAATATGTACAACATAACCACCAAATGATTTGACTTGGACCACTTTGAATTCAATTTCAATATTATTATCATCATTTTCCTTAATCATATAACCCGTATCATGTTCTTGACCGCCGGATTCTGCATAAAAATTGGTTGAATCTAAAATAATACCAATCAGATCGGTATCAGAAACTTCCTGAACAAATGATTTATCTTTTCTGATGGCCAAAATTTGACTTTGACAACTTTCAAAACGATAAACACTATCTTTTTTATCAGTCAAAGAATTGTAATTGTATTTAGGCAAGTCATTGGTCAAAGAAATTTTAAGTTGATCACGAAGTTCAGCAATAGCATGAACATCTAGTTCAACTTTTGTATCTAATTGAGATATTTTTGCTTGTGATATCAATTGAGCTTGAGCTTTTGCTTTTTCAAATCCTTCCATATCAACACATAGGCCATGTTCTTCGACCATCAATCTGGTCAAATCGATAGGAAATCCATAAGTATCATATAATTTCCAAGCAATATCACCAGGTAAAACTTTACTGCCTTCCAATTTTTCAATTGCAGTTTTTAATAGTCGCTTGCCTCTCGATAAAGTCTTCAAAAATTGTAACTCTTCTTCATTAATGATTTCCATGACCAATTGTGGATCTTTGTTCATTTCGGGAAAAAAATCACCCAAAGTTTGTACGACAACAGGTACCAACGACCCGAATGCACCGGGTTTACCCCCGAGTTTTTCAATGTAACGAGCAGCTCGACGTAAAATACGTCTCAGTACATATCCTCGACCAACATTATCCGGCCGTCCACCATCAGAAAGAGCGATGGTCAATGTACGAACATGATCTGCCACAACACGATATGCCATATCCGTACCGTCAACATCATCGTCACCAAGCTTGCCGGTATAATTTGGAGCTCCGGTATTTTCCTGTATGGCTTTGAAAAGCGGTTCGAAAATATCCGTGTCATAATTCGAAGTCTTGTTTTGAATTACCGATACAATTCTTTCAAAACCCATACCAGTATCTACATGTTTTTTTGGCAACGGTACTAATGAACCATCATTTTCACGATTAAATTGAATAAACACAAGATTCCAGATTTCAATTACATTCGGATCGTCCATATTAACTAATGAAGCTGCATTACGACCGCCGATTCGATCATAATGAATTTCTGAACAAGGTCCACAAGGGCCCGTTTCACCCATTTCCCAAAAATTATCTTTCATATCGAACGGAAGAATTTTTTCAGGATCAATACCAATTTCTGTCCATATTTTTCGAGCTTCTTCATCAGGATCTAAATTAGCTGCTTTATTTCCACCAAAATACGTAACATAGATTCGATCTTTTTCAAGGCCATAAACTTTGGTCAACAATTCAAAAGACCATTGACAGATTTCTTGTTTGAAAAAATCACCAAACGACCAATTTCCAAGCATTTCAAAAAACGTATGATGATAAGAATCTTTTCCAACATCGTCTAAATCGTTGTGTTTACCACCAGCACGAATACATTTTTGGCTATTAACCACTCTTTTGTATTTAGACATATCACTATTTGGATCAACTGTACCAAGAAAAATTGGTTTGAACTTTTAAAAAACAAAAAGGATTTTAGATTAAAATAAATAGAAAATTAAACAAATACGAATACCTGATTCATGCCAGCATTGGCAAACAAAAGTGTTGGATCTTCATGAGGAATGACCGATGAACTTCGAACAAAAAGATGTTCATATTTATCTTTGAAAAAATCAATAAAAGCTTGTCGAACATCTTTATAAGATTTTGATTTTAACGACATGATCAACTGGTTTATTAATTATATGAAAATGATGAAAATTCAAACAATAAAACAATCAGAAAAGAAGAAGAAAATGTTACACGTCGAAACTCATTTAAAAGCATGTGTGTGTATCGAATCAAGTGGAAATAGTGTCTTTCATTCATTCCATATGATAATTCGCGCATGTTCATTGTTTCTCGTTATATGATTATCCTTGAAATTTTCAAATCCAGTCTATTTTTTTCTCCATTTTAATTTGAAGTTCCTGCCTTTCGAAGCAACAGCATTTCAAACGTGAAAAACAACAAAATTGAAAATAAAAATTGAACAAATCAAAACTAGATTGTTTTTCATTTTGAGCCACTCTCTCCAATATCTGTTTATAAATTTTCCAATTACAAATACACGAAATGAAATTTTGTTTTCGATCTTGAACTGAGATTTGAAATGATTTGCATTTAGATCACATTTAAATGCATTTTATTATTTTATTCCAATCATCATCAAACAAGGCGGAATTTATTTTGTTTTTGGTTTGTTTTCCGTGATACAGCAGAATCATTATCCGGGTATAGGAATTATAACGATTTTGTTCGTAGAAAATTCGATTAATGGGTTAATTATGGTGTCCAATTCTATCATCATCATCATCATCATCAAAAATGATGATTCGATTCAACTATAAACTTTTTTTAGCAGTGGAAAAACTACTATTTTTGGATCGATTTTCCTAATGAATTTTATTGCTAAAACGAAAGAGAAAAAACAAAATATTTAACTTTTTTTCCCATTTTTTCCATTGAATGGCAAATAAGAATATATTTTTGCTCACAAAAAGACAAATACTCTCGATGATATTAATCGGTTTTTTGTTGTTGTTTTTGATCATCAAAATCTCAATGAAATAAAATAATCTGTTGTCATCATCGATCTATAGTTGTCACGTTGTGTGAATTCACTAAAGAAGAATTCTATAGATGAAAAAAAAAATACTTTTTAAGTCTTTAAATCGGATTTGTTGTTGTCGTTTTCCATCGTCGAGTAGTGTTAATGTTCGGCGCCATCATTGTTGACAAAATTGCTGTGTGTAATGATTTGAAAAGATTTTGATTAAAAGTTTTATCTTTTTTTTCGCACACACACAAATAAGTCGTTGAAATAATGTAGAAAATAAATTGAAAAAAAGAAGAATTTTCAACACGAATTTAACAAAAAAAAAATTTTTTATTTTGTCAATAATGATAAGTTACGAAAAAAAATTACGAATTACGAAAATGATGATCATATTTTTTTGTCTATCTGATCAGTAAAATTTGGTGCAAATTTTCTGCTCTTTTTTTTCAAAGAAAAGAAAAGAAATCAAAGAGTATTGTGTATATACGAGGACGGCTAAAGATTTTGTTTGTTTGTTTTCATTATGTTTCAAAAAAATCGAATGTTTTGCTATGTTGACAAAAAAAAAAATTACATGAAACTGGTGTCTCTCTGTGTGTGTGTGTATGTATTTGGTGGTGCAAGAGTATTACCATTATCATTATGATGATGATCGGTTACAAATGAGAAAATGATGAAAAAAAATAATTTCAATCAAATATTGTACACAACATTTAGCATGATGATGATGATGTTATTGCCATATAGAATTTCAAAAAAAAAAAAAATTTTCAATGTCAAGAACCGGTTAAGTGTTTTTGTTTAGCGGAATGGTTGACTAGATTATAATGAAGGTTTGGCTTGTTTGAAACAAAAAAATTAATGTAATATGACCGTACGGTGTGTGTGTGTAGGATAATTAATAAAATGTAATGAAATCTGACACAATTAATGAATGAATGAATGAACAAAACAAAGAAACAAAAAAGATCAAACAATTATGTAACAAAATAAAAATATTAACAAAAAAATTTTTTCGAGGAAAAAACAAAAAAAAGAAAAATAAAATTAGCAACAAGTTTTATGGAAAACCGAAAAAAAACAAAATTTATAAGGAAAACAAAAACAAAATTTTTGGTTGTCTTGGATACCGAGGTTCTGTTGTTGTTTGTTTGTTTGTATTCTGTTGACAAATAATGCCTGTTGAAATTTTTTTTTGTTGGTGGAAATAATGTTCAACAATGTGATTTGATTTGATTTGACTAGAATGATACACTCATTTTATTCTTTTGTTTCATAAAAAAAATGATTTTGAAAAAAAAATTCTGATTCTGTATATACAGAATTGTAACTATATTTATGAATGATGAGGAATTCTGTTTTTGTTTGTTTGTTTGTTAGAAAAATAATTCTATTCGAAAATCTCGAAAAAAAAGAAAACATTATTAAAAACTACAAAATGTGAATCAAGAAAAAAAAGAAAAAATCTTATGATGATGATCATTATGATTAAATTAATTAAGTAGAAAAAATTTACTGAACAAAAGAAAAACTGAAAAACAAAAAAAAACGAAAATTCTGAGCAATAATTCCATTCGAATTCGAACGTTTGAACATTCGAATCGTATAGTTGATTTTTAAGAATAATAGAAAAAAGTAAGTAAAAGAAAGAAAAAAAACATTATTTATCACACTAAATCGATTATAATTCAGTCAATTCTATAATTATTATTATTATTATAAAATGAATTTTTAATTTTGAAATTTCATTTTTTACTTTTTTTTTCAAAGTTGATCATCATCATCATCATCAAAAATCTGACTAGATAGAAATGTATTGAAATATATACATGAGCACACATATATTATCGACCAAAACGAGAAAATATATGATTGAGAATGAGAGAAAAATCAATCAAGAATCTATAGAATCCGCGTACCAGGAGAGAGAAAAAAAAACATTGAAATGGAAGAATATTTTTTTTTTACATTTGCAAATTATATGCAAAATGTTTTAGAGGATTTATTGCCTTTTTTCTATGAATACTGTGTGTATGTGTGTGTAATCAAATATAAGTGATGTAAGTAATTCTATTTGTGTGTATGAGCAGAGAATCGATAGCAATTTGGCTAACTAAAAAATAGTTTTGTAATTCTGTGTGTGTTTGTAGGGAGAGAAAAAAAGGTGCAAAATTTTTTTATTTATTTAAAAATATCGAGATTCATTCAGTGATTGATCAGATAGAAAGAAAGAAAAATCGGTGAATAGAATCAGGTAGAAGTGATAAATATTTGTGTCGAGTATCTAATCACATTATCTCTATTTATTTTCTACAAAGATAAACATTCAAATGTTCTCTCGCTCTCTTCATGTTTGTTCCAACATAGAGACAAAAAAAGTGTGATGTTTACGTCAAAAAGTTTTTTGCAAAACAAAAACAAAAAAAAAGTTTTCAATTAGAAATTAAATGAATTTTTTTGTTTTGTTTTTTGTTTTTCAAAACTGTTAAAATCATTAAAGGTTTAATTTTTGCCATAATGATGATGATGATGATGATGATAATGAATTTCATAAATACTTGTGAATTCTATGTGTGCGTAAATGAACTTTTTTTTCCCCTCTCATTCCCATTTAGAGAACGGTCATCAACAGAAGAAATTTGTTCATTCGGGAGAAAAACAAAAAACAAAATGCAAAGGTTCAGTAGGCAATGGCAATCATCCTCATCAACAGCAATGAAAATATTGATTCTTGGACGCTGTTGGAATTTTTTATTAATCGAAAACAAGAATTACACACACACACGTACACACAGAGAGAAACACTATACACATTCCTAATAAGTTGAGAAAAAATTATTTAATTAGAACATCAAACGCTCAAATGTTCTAATTGAAATTCATATCGATTGTCAAATCAATCAATCCAACAAAAAAAAACATTTACTACATTCAAGAATTGATTTTTTTTTCTATCTGGAAGTGAGAACAAAAAAACCATCTTTTCACATCATCATCATCATCAGAGACAGACTGATCATTCGACTGGAAATATTATTATTATTATTATTTGTGCCAAAAAAATGTTCCTGACAATCAATGAATGAAGAACACTGAAGAAGAAGAAGAGAGAATCAAATCAAAAAAAAACAAGGCAAATTAAAGCAACAAAAAAAAGTGAACAGAAAATATAGACCAAGTTTTAATTGTAATTTATCTAATGATGCATTTATTGTTGAAAACTAACAGTAGAGAAAAAACGAAGAAAACAAAACAAAAAAATACAAGTTATGCAAATTAGTTTTTTTTTCTGTTCATTATCATCATTATCATTATTATTTCATTTTCTGTCGAATGTCGTTTGTTGCTATATATATAGTACTACATTCAAAATAACCCAAATGATAATGATGATAATCAACTATTAACTTGTAACGAAAAAAAAAAGTATCCAGAATTCAATTCGGCTTTCTTCTTCTTCTGCTTCTATATGAATATATTTTCATAAGCAACTTTGTGTCTGTGCCTGTGTTTTCCTCAATTTCAATGATTTATTTCAAATGCCTTTCTCTTGAATATAGCCCAAATTTGATCGCATTAAATTTTAATTGTGTGTTTTTCCTTTCTCAAAATAGAAACAAACAAAAAAAAAGTTTGATTATTCCATCAATGTTTTTTTTCTTCTTTTTCGTTTGTTTGTTTGTTTGTTTGTTTGTGCATCATGGACAATCAAATCACCGCACAAACAAAATTGTCTGGGAAATTTGATTTTCAAACAATGTAACGATCCATTTACACACACACACACACACACTTATGAACCTAAAAAATACCCAAAGGAAATCGATAAACAACAAACAAACAAAGACGGAAAAACACACAAAAAAAATTATGAAAATCATGAAAACCACACATAATATAAGCAAGAAGAATTGATCTTTTTTTAATTTTAAAATGACAACATCACTAACAACGTTTCAATCGAAAAAAATTCCTGAATGTTATCGGTTTCCTTATCAATGTTCAATTCCAATATAGATGCATAAAAGGTATCCAGTAGAACCAAAAAAAAAAACTAATAAAAGTATATTATTGATCAAAAACAAGATGGAAATCAAAAAAAAAGAAAAAAAAA